TCAGCAGTACGACTTTGCCCTCAGAGCTTGAGTTGCTGCTTTTAGTCTTACCGTTCTCCAATCGACCTGCCTGGCATGGTAGAACCTGCAGGAACATGTGTTCCAGCCAATATAGCTCGGTTGGGTCATCACGATAGGCAAGCCCGAATACTACGTCAATGTAGCAGCTACGGTCGGGCCCTAATAAACCACCTGCTTCGATTTGGGCACCCGGGCAGTATCACAGCCCACACACATATCCAATGAGATCTGTGTGGCGCATATGTATTCGGTGCCTCCTTGTACCGATATCTATGTGTTATAATAAATAAATAAATAATATAAGCTTATACACTTGATACAATTAGTAAGATATTCAGACTTTCTGTACTAGCTTTTATTTGGTAAAAGTTCTCTGACGCTAAGTGAGTGAAAACTTATGTATTTATTGTGCTAGATACAATTACCCTATTTTTCACATCTCCAGAACTCCATTCCTAGGTGTATTAATAGGATTGTTAGCATACCCAGCATGAATGCTACACTTGTAATGCAACCCTTGGTTCCATTTGATATTAGTTGTTAATTGACTGTTGTCAGTCAGTCAGCTATAACGTAGGACCAGGCACATATATACAACTGTCCAAGTTACCACACCTCATTATCACAGTAAGATGAACATCAAATTTATAGTACTTACTTCGATGGTAGTAATATATAAAAAGTAGATTGTATATAAGGATATAATACAGGAAAAAAAGTTTGTAGAAATAAAGGTATAAAACAATTTTAATCTCACGGTTTAAGGGAAGACAATCAGTGTATACACCTACGCCATTGCGATCAATTCTCAGCCGTCACCCAGAGTCTCCAACCATTGGTTACGGCAGTCGCGCGGACACCAACCAAGTAGTATGCATCTACCAACATGACTTAGATCAGAAGTTAGTGACTTTATGGGCTAATGCCACGTTTTGGTTTGGCCGCCCCTAACTTTCTCCCAACCATCCCCAACACTAATTAGCATTGCGCATTGTGATAATCGGTGTTCAGGCATATGCAACACTTGATCCATCCATCCATCTCAGTCGTTGCAGATTCACAACCTCATCGACTAATTTACCATCATTCCTTAATACCCTGAGTCTAACCTCACTATTACCTACCAGGGGATCCCAGCAGATGCTGGCAATATTTCTAATAACATCTGGGGTCAAATACTAGTAATTTTATTTATTTATTTATTTGAACACATAAATATTGGTACAAGAGGGCACCAAATATATATGCGCCACACAAAACAATCAGAATTAAAAGAGAAGGGAAACAAGGTAAGGAGCGTAGGGAATAAAAAAAACAAGAGAACAATAACGACCAGATTAGTGTAAGGTAGTGTAATAGTAATAATAATGGGGGAAATGGAAAGGTACAATCAGAAGAAATCTTTCAGTTAAGGAAGATACAACCACTTTTTATGAAAAAAGTAAAGGAAGGTTACAGTAGGATAGCCACTGGCTTCTATTCTGAGCCATATCTGAAAACGTCTCTAGCCACTGTGTTGCACCATCTCTGGGACCCAAGCCAGGGAGTCGTGAAGGACCAACAGAAGCCAGCCGTTTGCAGTTTTCTTTAATACCACGACACCGTGTCATACACTGACCACCTTTCCGCTTTTTCCAACCAGTTCCAGAGTCGGCAAATAATGCACGACGTGGAATTCTCTGGGACGACATTCGTAGAACATGTCCAAGCCACCGAAGTCGGTGTTCCAAGATGGTGAAACCAATCGGATTGTCGTCTCTGTGCCCGAACACACGATGTCGAACCTCTGCATTACTAACATGGTGTTGCCACTGGATGTCAGCAATCCTTCGCAGACAGCGATGATCGAACACAGAGAGTCATCTAACATCCTCAGCTCGGAGAGGCCAGGTTTCACAAGCATAGAGCGAGACTGCTCTCATCGCCGCGTTCTAGACCCGACCTTTTACAGCCAGACTGACATCACGAAGGCGTCAAAGATGACCCAGATTGGCATAAGCTGCTCTGGCTTTCACTATACGTGCGTTGATCTCATCAATCACGCCACCACCAGCACTTATGCAGCTACCCAGATACACGAACTTCTCGACTACTTCAATCTGCTCACCATCCAGAGTGAGTACAGGATTAGAATCCTGCCAGTCTTGTAGAAGTACTTTGCACTTTGAAGGTGCAAAACACATACCATACCTACTGACATTGATTGCCAACTGATTAAGTGCGGATTGCATGGCTTGAACATTCTCGCCAGCAAGACCAGACGAAGATGCCACAGGGTTCCCGGATAAACGGACGTAAAACAAGCTTTTTGAAGCGACAGATGGAGAGCGAACTTATAGTACTTCACCAGAGTCTTGAATACGGGTCTCGGATAGACAACAAACGTCGATATTAAGAATTTCCAAAGACATAGCCAGTCCTATCTGTTGTCCGACCTGCATAAGTGTGCGAACGTTGAAGGCAGCCAGTTTGAATGGTGTACGTGGTTTCAGAAAAACGGCTTCAGTATTCGTATTCGGTGGTAACATACAATTTTCAACCAGGCAGTGACTCGAGAACGTTTAGATAGAGCTGAATTTCCACCATAGGCGAGCTGCTGTATAATTCGAAAAATAAGTATACACAGAGTGGGAATAAAAGAGAGTGAATAAATGACGTAGTAAATAATAATAATAATAATAATAATAATAATAATAATATGAATCATTTGATTGTTAATTGAAGCACGAAAAGTATCTTCAATAAATATCAGCATTTCATATTTGTGTGTGGGCTGTGATACTGCCCGGGTGCCCGAACCGAAGCAGGTGGTTTTCTTAGGGGGCCACATCCCGAGCCTTCGACCTAAAGGTCTGACCCACAAGGCAGTGGAACATCGTAAGGAGATGCAGTCCCATGGTAGCCGGTGACCAACGATTGGTTCATACGCCATTTGTTCCCTCAGGATACTGGAGCCCATGTGCACCATTGGTTTGGGGATCCGGTTAAAGCGCCGGACATTCGCTTTTCGTCCTCACATTTTGGTAAACAAAAGTAATGCCACGAGAAGGCAGTGAGTAGGACTTCCCTGGCAGTGGCTATATACGTGTAGCCGTGTGAGAGTATTTCGAGAGGGAGGGTGAGCCCACCCCGCTCTCGGCCATACCAGAGCATTTGGGGGTACCCGTTTTGCCTAATGTTTGAAATAGCATGAAATAAAAAAGACGGTGAACGAAGGAAGGAAGCAATATGAAAAACACTAACAGCTTGAAGCAGATGGGATCCTCAGAGCAACGTCAACTGATGAGATGAAACTCTGAGTAACATGGCTTAAAACCAGAATTAACAACTTAATTACAAGTGTTCTAGCTCAATGAAGTTTTTGCATAAGTGAATTAGTAGAGATAATCACATATTTGTGACATTTCATGTCAATTCAGTATAAAGGCTACAATTCACTTACAAAAACCTACCAGTAAATACAAAGTATGTTGAAAGCAAGTAACTTGTACTGAGATAATATATCAAAGAAGCAAGATAGCTCACTTGTGGGTTGAAGTAATTGGCTGACGCTGCATTTTGTGACCATTAGTTTCTCGTAATCCTGATCCTGAAGCAGAATATGCCATTTTGCTACCGGTAGGTCTTGGTCTGTCTGAACAAGCATAATCATTAGCGAAAGTAATTCGTAAGTCTTGATTTTGTTTGCAGGTTACTACTCGAATAGCATCTGTTATATTAGAATCTAGATTCGATCTAAAACTGCGACGTTCATTGTGCATGACAAGGTTTTCGAAAACGTTACTGGAGAGCTAGACGAATTTGTCAACTGGTCAAAAGTAATGAACAGCAGAATACAGGAAAACTTTCAGACGACAGCAGCAGAAGTCTGTAAAAAAACATTTTCAAAAGTAAGAACACTAATAAGAACTATGAATGAGCATAAAAACAACAAGTAACCTGAAGTAATTAGAAAATCGCTACATCCAAAACAGAGAACATGAAAGTGATAGGTATCGCAATGAGCGGTCGTAAACAGAATCTCTTGGTGAAACTAGTTTTTGGACGACCTTTGAGCGACGCCAAAGTGACATTGAGAGTGTCTACCTAATTATGAACGTTATAAAGCAGTTTAAGGAGTAAAGACTTTGAGAAGTATTCGTTGATTTTTTGTAGCAGTCAAATTTTGTAATGCTGTTTTTTGTAAGTATTAAATGATTTCCGGTGTTGTCAAAATCTGTGGAATTTACTGTGCTACTTTTAAAGGTGTTATAACCAGCTTCATAGCTTGTTTTATACACCGAGTCACTAGTTGCAATGCGGCTTTGTTTTTTTGCTCTCCATTTTAGTTGGTGACTACAGATGAAAGTATAGCATCTGATCCAGGTGTTCTCAGCCCCTCTATTGAAGCAAACGCTAGTGTAAATGGTAGTAAATATGATCCTAACCTTGATTTGGAGTTAAATAATACGCGGTAAGTTTCTAATAGTTTAGCGACTTATTCTTATCTCCAACTAAGTTGTGACTCAAGAAGTATTTGGTTTTGCACTGTTAGTCAGCCGAATATTTTGCCTATGAATAATAAACGTGAAGTTGTCAGCCTACATGTTCACTTGGTTTTCCTTTAACTTGACCGTAAACTTTATTCTGTTTTGAGAGCGTTGATCTGGAAACCTACTTAAGTCAAAGTTTCTTGTGAATCCTTGGGATATCAAACATTAGTGAAGCATAAATCAACAAACACTTAAATCTGCATTCCTCAGGCCCAATGTGTAATGAATAGAAAGTGCGGGATATCCAAGAAAGATATGTAGATTTTCACTTGATTTATGGTAGTATGAATGAAGTGGTCTACAAATGACGAACTCTAGTGTTCTCATTTTGTGTTACCATAGGTAGGCACACGTATCACAGTATCTTCATATACCTATACCCAAAGATTACGAACCAATGCCAAAATTGTCTATTTACATTCATAATTCATGAGCTAAAATGTTACTTCTGTCATAAATCCTAATTCTTCGGCAATACTTGTTGCTGGGATGGGAAATTGTGTTTCTGGTGTTCGTACTGCATTACTTTCGGTTTGAATCGACACATTTCGATTATGATTTTCGGAGTATCTGCTAGCTTTTTGTTATTTGTAATCTTCGTCTAAATAACACACGAAAGTGTCCATTGAAAACTAATCCATTTAATATAAACCAATATATAATTATTTATAAAATCTACTTTGCAACTTTTTTGAAAGCAACAACGAATGCAAAATCAACTCTTGTGTACTTCAGTCACATACAACCGCTGCTCCAGCTGATTCTACTTCTGCAAACCTGGGTCATGGAGGAAATATTGGACAAAATTACGATACAGAAACCGAATCTGTACATAGTGCTAACCAAGGTTAATTTTTATTTTTCAGTCAATCTCTGCTTGTTACGTTATTTGTTAAAGGTGGATAAACTTTGAATTTTTTCCAATAACAATCTACATCTCTTGTAGATGATTAAAGTTGTAAACGATTTTCGTTTTGTTAGTATAGGACTGTGGAGATTGTTGAGTTTTAATTGAGATTATAAACCGATCTATGTTAGACCATCATTGAAAACCCGGGGGCACTGAACCGTCGCTTCGCTGTAGTGTGTACCTTTTCAGCAGTGAGCATCCACGGTCCCGTAGATCTTGTAAGTCTTGGAACTTGTTGCTGAGAACTATCTTGAATTTGTTGCGTTTGTCAGTGTCTCGAAGGTAGGCTGTATTGAACCTTTGTAATGCTGTTTGTCCAGTGCTACTTTAGCTTCAGTTTCATCTTGGTAATCATCATGTGGTGGTGATCTGAAGCTATTTCAGCTGCTCTCCTGGTTCTCACGTATTCCATTGACCTTGTGAACATTTTAGTTATACAGATATGATCGTTCTGGTTCTGTGTAGTGTGATCCAGTGAGGCCCGTGTAGTTTTGTGTATGCGTTTGTTGATGAATATCGTGCCGCCTATAACCATATGTATTTGTTGCCTCCTTGTACAAATGCCTATGTGTTAAAAACAAATAAATAAAATAACCATTTTGTTGAATGAACATAAATTCTCATTAAACTCCTCAATCGTTCGTAAACGTAAGTTACCATATGTCAACCGAAAATCCCAATAGAAATAATTGTTTTATCCAGACTTAGCAGTCCTCTGTCATCTATCTATCTATCAAACTCCGCCTGTCTCTTTTAGGGTTAGTGCCGGTACCAAGACTGGGTAAAAGAGGAGAGCTAGATGTGGGGGCAGCAACCCCAACCTTGCTAAAAAATGCTCACCAGAAAAACAATTTTGACCAGTAATACTCTGCCCTAGGAGTTGAAGGATCTACATCTAGAATAATTATAACTCCTTACGGTGAAATCCGAGACTCTTCGGAAGTCACTAAGCTGATATCCCTTCTAACAACCACAGCAACAATTTATATAGGAACATGGAATGTTCGAACAATGTATGTAACTGGGAGAACCAATCGTCTAGCTACGGAAATGAGGAGATACAACTCGTCGGTTCTCGGAATAAGTGGAACCCATTAGATCCAAACTGGACAGAAAAGATTACATTCAGGAGAGATGCTTTCGTACTCTGGTCACGAACAAGAAAATGATCCACACACTCAGGAAGTGGCTCTGATGCTGTCCAAAGAAACATGTTAGGAATTTATAGGATGGGAATCTCATGAACCCAGGATCATCGAAGCACCCTTCAAAACAAAGAAGGAGCAAATCGCGATGAATCTTATCCAATGTTATGCACTCATCAATGATAGCAATGAAGACGACGAAGACCAGTTTTACGAGAGGTTGCAATCAATCATAGCGAAGTGTTCAGCAAAGAACCTGACCACACTGTTGGGAGACCTAAAAATCGGAATTCACAACATCGAGTATGAAGATATCATGGGACGAAATGGACTGACAGTCATCTTGAGTACCTCTAACAGCACTCACGACTTAAGTCAAAATCACATATATGAAAAATACTTAGTTATGACAAATCATATGCTGAGTATAGTTCATGTTAACTTAATACAAGAATATCGTATGTTATACAGAATAAAATGTCATACGGGGAAACAAAATAAATGTTATGCTGAGTTATCGTCACATTGAATTAAAACGGAATTAATGTTGAACAAAAATCATAATGAATTAATCAATCTAATTTTGACTTTTCGTCCCGTCATGAAGCAACAATTTGCATTTAAAGTGGGAGAGACACATTCCAAACATCCTGGTATTGTTGCTCAGTGCTACCAAAAGACTGCATTTTGTCATCGTCTTCATCAAACAGGACTATATCATCTGCGTATTCTTCTGGCAAGAGATCAATTCCCGAGAAATTAGATGACGAGGGTAGTAGACAGCCTTGTCGGACACCACTTTAGGTTGCAAAATCTGATGACAGTTCGCCATAAGCTCTGACTCGAATGATAGTGTTCGAGGTTCCAGAAAATTAACGAACTAAGAGTAGTGATAACCAGTCAGGAAAGGGTAAAGGCCTTGCAGAAAATGCACTTGCACTTACCCTTACTAGTAACAAAAATTGGACAATTTCGTGATCGCCTCAGTAAGGACAAACAAAAAACACGTAATGATGGGTGGTATTGTTTAGTATTCACTAACTTTTCTTTTTGGACATGCACTTTTCGGTGGTATTCATCCCATTATCTGAAAATCAAACTATCATCATGCATCTACCCAGAATTTTCTTACTTTTAGTCAATAATGGTCTGGATAACAGGCTGATTATTTATTCTGCTCACACTTTCCTATATGGCAGGATTCATAAGTACTTTTATTATTAAAACCAGAATACACATTTTCTGTTATCTATCTATTTATTTATGTCCAATTAATATAATAGATCGCATTGCTCCTCTACGGAATTTTCACAATTATAAATCTAGTAAGTTTCCCATATTTGTTTTATTTATATTTTATGAAATTATGTTAGTAGTAAAAATAATGATTTTCTTGTTCGTTATAATAAGTCTTTGTCGAATGATTCTACTTTATGCACTCATAGGTTGATAATTTAACATTGTAGGACTGATCATTTTGTTGAGATGCCTATTTAGAATAAGCTTAATCTTTCCCACTTCTTAGGTTGATCGATGTAACATTTTTAGCTTTTATGTTAGATGGATTTATATCTGAATCACTTCACTCTTTTACGGTCGGCTATTCATCATTTTCTTCTCTTTTATTCAACATGACATATTTTTACTGATATATGTGCTCAACAAGTATCCTGAAAAAGCAAAATCTCCCTTTTAAACATATGTTTCCTTTCTCAGTCATCTTCACTAATATATATCTTGTGCTGTTAAAAATGAAGCGAATTGAATTACTGCTTATTTGTTAGGTTGATCTGGAGTAACTGTACTCGAGTTTAAATATTTTGGTTTATCTCTTAATGGATTTGTTACTCAACAGAAAGAGTAATATTTAGGTTTATTTATTAGGAATTTTGATCCGTCTAACGGTGATACCTTTGTTGAATAAGCTAATAATTCGCAACGCTGGTATACAAATACGAAATTTTATAGACTTTTACTCCTTCCCCACTTTTGACCTTAAAAGTTCCCGCTTTAAAGTATCAGCAAAACGTTCAGCTTATCCATGTGGTTGTGGATGATTCTAATAACGAACTCACATAGTTTATTGAATGACAGTGGTAAAAGTCTTCGAATTATTCTGATATGTAGTGAAGCTCTTCATCTGATACCATAGTGTCTGACAATTTTTTATCTCGGAAACTTTCTGTCAATACTCGAAGAGAGCTTTGTTAGTGAACTGTGGCAGCATGGGACAATTTCTGGTCATTTTGATTACGGACCCACGAAAACCAGATATTTAATGTCATTGACTAGGCCTACAAAATCTGTGTACTCTTGACAATGGGTCTTCAGGTTGTGATCATGTGGTTGGCGATACTCGACTGTCTAGTTTTGTTGCTTTCTGGCACTCAGAGCAGCTGTTAACAAATTTTGCGATCTGTTGATTCATGAACGGTCAGTGAGAAAAACTCCACTCAATAGATTTCATATGATTAATACACGGGTGATGGCTGTCAAATTAGCATAGGATTTAAGGGTGGATAGATCTGGGTATAAGTTAATTTTATTCAGGTATAATTCTGTTACTTTAGTTTATAATGCCTAGTATTTCTATTTATGGAATGTTTTGCACTGATAGGCTTTTGTCTTGAGGGCATAACTAGTATCAAGTCAGTCTTTATCCTAAGAGGTTGGCTGATGTTGTTGCGGAAATAAGAATTCTCATAAGTTATATTGTTCTGTGTCTGAACTATTGATATATATATATATATATATATATATATATATATATATATACTGAAAAATATACTTTTGTGCCCTACAATAATATCACTTCACTACTAAACTACTCATCGACGTTTTTCATTTTCTGTACAAAAAATTCTTTAAGAAACGGTGTAAGACATTTATGTAAACGTACCTGATAATGAGGCCAGTTGGGAGTTTTTGTCACGAAATCAAAGCTCTTAAGGTGATTGATCTCAATGTTGATTGGACCATTAAATATAAATATATGTATCAGTATTTGTATTTCTTAAATTGCAGGTCTTGATTTGTAGTTTAGGTTCACGTTGATATATGTACATTTTCCACTCAGCTCACGAAGACTTTTCTTATTCAATAATTTTTTTCTCATATGCCTGTTGTCCACTGGGTATTTAAAAAAATTATCTGATATTTTGGAATTTGATTTAGATGATAAACAATCAGCATGATTTAAAAAAGCTTATCACTATAATTTAATAAGAATTTATGAATATATTCTCTTGCAACAATGGTATCTATTAAAAGTCCTTTTTCAACTTTTTAAGTTTTCTGTTACTTTTCATACATGAAATGATCGTCGGCGGCATAAATTTTAATATGGCTGTGCACGCGATATGTTCCTAAGATATTAAGTACAATTTGTTGGTTGAAATTGTTTTACTTACATGATCCCACCATGTACGTAGTTTTGCTTGAAAAGCTTATTTATCTTCATTCATGTTCTGTGATAGCTCATCAAATAAATCTTTTGTGATTCTTTCATTGTTTGCTATTTGTTCAGCGATTTCGCAAAAAATATTACTTTTCTTTCATTTTCCTGATTTCGTGTGAATTTCACATTTATGTTTGATTTTAGGTGGTCGACATCATTATACAACGAGTGGTAGTAGTCATATTACTCAACAGACAACCCATAGTGGTTCACGCCATCGCCACTATCGCCATTTACCTAGTTCAAATACCTATGAAGCTCCTTCAGTGATGAGTTCTGATTTAGAATCAACTAGCTTCTTAGACTCGGAAGAAGAATCTAGCAGGTCAGTTACATTCCGCGTAGGTTTCTATTTTCTGGTTGCAAATGACTTCATTCGAAGATCGTATTAAGGTTCTTTTTTATTCTGTATGGTTAAGTTTAGATTATGTTGATGTATTTGTTACTAATTAAAGTTTAAAAATCGATTATTTATTTATTTATTTATTTTAGCACATAGATTTCGGTACAAGGAAGCACCAAATACATATGCGCCACACAAATTTTCATTTTATTTGTGTGAGGGCTGTGATACTGTCCGGGTGCCCAAACCGAAGCAGGTGGTTTTCTTAGGGGGCCACATCCCGAGCCTTCGACCTGAAGATCTGATCCATAAGGCAGTGGAACATCGTAAGGAGATGCAGTCCCATGGTAGCCGGTGACCAACTATTGGTTCATACGCCATTTGTTCCCTCAGGATACTGGAGCCCATGTGCACCATTGGTTTGGGATCCGGTTAAAGCGCCGGACATTCGCTTTTCGTCCTCACATTTTCGTAAACAACAGTAATGCCACGTGAAGGCAGTGAGTAGGACTTTCCTGGCAGGGGCTATATACGCGTGGCCATGTGAGAGCATTTCGAGAGGGAGAGCGGACTCTCCCCACTCTCGGCCGTACCAGGGCATTTAGGGCCTAAAAAATCAATAGTAGATTTAGATAAGCTTATCCGAGTGGTATACGCTAAATTGATAATATATGTTCCCGAAGAACTTTATATTGTTGTCTTCAGGTTCAATAAATAACTTTTTATTTGATTTTGTAAATCAGGTTTTCATCAGTCACTGGAACAACATTATCTTCCCGTCGGTATGGCCGTGCACGTCGCAGACGAAGACGTAGGCGTCCACCACCAATCAGCCGGGTAAGTTTATTCTGTGCAATAATTTATTTGTTCATTTCGTACATTTAATTTCATATTCATTACTCTGCAATTATCTTAAAATTGGGATTTTCCACATTTCATTCACTGTTAATGTGACTATCAGGTTCAGGTTTACTGCATTCACATTCGTAACGTGAGCTTTTTGCTCTACCCCGCTGTCTAAATCGAAGTTAGTTGGGGTTCAAACCCACACATATGTGGCTAGAAATCGAATACTTTAACTATTAACGTGCCACTCATATTTGAAGTAGATTTAATTGACAACGTAACATCGTTAGGGATATCACTCAATGATTAGTCCTCATCACTAACGATATTACATTGAGAAGTTTGAAATGTAGATGCTAATTGACATCAATACAATATGGATGTTGTCATATCGCCAAAATAGTCTATGGTTAACACTACCGTTTCAAGTGATTGGAAATAATATATTATTATTATCCTATTTGTTAGTGCACAAGTTATGCAACTACACCTCCACATTAGAAATATATTAAACGTCCCCTTATTTATAAATGATTTTGGATTATTTATCTAAGTTTATTGTCACAACAAAGAATAATAGTTTTCCTTAGTTTCCTGCTATTTCATTTTGGAAATATCTACAAGTTATTCAGAACTTTTTGTGTTTAATTTTTTATAGGCCTCTTCGTTCAGCAGTATTACAGACTCCACCATGTCTTTAAATATTGTGGCAGTTACGTTGAATATGGATATCGTCAATTTCTTGGGTATCAGTATAGTTGGTCAGTCAAATAAATCTGGAGATGGTGGGATTTATGTAGGTTCTATCATGAAAGGTGGTGCTGTCGCTCAAGATGGACGAATTGAACCTGGGGATATGATTTTGGAAGCGAATGGGATTAGTTTTGAAGAAATGAGTAATGACGATGCAGTTCGCACATTACGAGAGCAGGTTCAGCGTCCTGGGTAAGTTCATAATATTGCTTGTTTTCTTAAACAATGAAATTCAGTGTTTAGAACTGAACTGTTTATACCATTGTTGAGTAGCAATGAAATTTGTCATCTAATTTTATAAACTCCCATACTATTCGTCCTTGGGACAGGTATCGGTTGTTGCTCTATAATTTCACTAATTCTCTTAGATAAAATTCAAAAAGCTTGTTTCTTTTCTTTTTAAGATTCTTTAAGGGTCGAGGTACGTCTGAAAGTATAAGGTATTCTACTTGGAACGCTATCCATCACAAGGACATGTTTTAACATATTTGTCATCGAGAACTAACGAAAACAAACTTTAAATCATGTAAATAAATACTAACTACCTAAGTAAATCATAGGATTTTGTTTTACAGAACGTTAATTATGTGCTAACTCTCACTTCTTGATATGACGCGATAGCACTTCTGATTTTACAAACATGTCTTACTATTTATCAAACACGTGTACTATGTTTACACCAAACGTCATATATTCTTTGTACACGAAACTGTTATATCCTTAAAATTCTATTTGTTAAGTGATATATCCGATTTCGTAGGCTTTACTTGAACGAATCATCATATCTACCAATGGTGTTTGTTACTTTCTTTAGGATGATGTGTTGACATATATACTACCTGTGCCTTCCAGTGTTATTTAGTGCATTACTATTACACAAATGACGGAAGAGATCCTTTGGGCCATTAAAGAAGGAATGAAGACAAGTCGGTGAAGAAAATCTTTTCGTTTATTGAAGCTATACAGTCATATTTATAGTTGCTTGTCAAATATAGTAGTCCATCGAAAATCAGGAGATTATATCATAAAGTGTTTAAAAATTTCAAGTATCACAAGATTGTTTGATGTTCTGAAGGCTAAATAGATATGGTAAGATGAAAATGGTTTACGGATCAGATATGTGAGGCAATAATACACTTGACAGATGCGAAAAAGAATGAGAAATTAGGATGTTAATAGTAACTGGATAATAATTATGAAGATTTGGAGATGATCACCGAATAAGAAGAACTAGTGTTAGATCAATTGTAAAATGAAACTGCACTTACTGCTTTTGAACACAAAGTTCAGGGTTAAAGCACTTTATTGCTAGAACCTTTGCAGTTCGCAGGTTTCTAATTTATCATATTTTTTATCTTACCCGTTCGACCTTAAAGGTAATTTTGAAAGATAATACTGGTCGGGCATTGAGACTAGATTTTTTCACAAAACGTAGATAATATTTTAAAATATTATCTTCAACCGTAAACCGTTGATTTATACTCAATAAGTTTAAGTCGTTATATGACGAATTTTTAAACTTTGTGGTCAGTACAATTGAATTTCTAGCTTATCACAAGTATAATAAATTATGAGGTTTTAAAACCTACTTTGCTTTTGAATGAATAGAGTTTTTGCCTTTTTTCAGGTTAGTAAAATTCTGATTTTTGTAATTTTCAATACTGTTGTCCTTAGACCTATTACATTAGTTGTTGCTAAATGTTGGGATCCTAATCCAGCCGAACGTTATTTTACAATACCTCGCCAAGAACCTGTACATCCTATTGATCCGCGTGCCTGGGTGTTACATACCAATGCAATGACCGCACCAGACTCACAGGTTCAAAGTAGTGATATACATAGACAAGTTAATGGGACTTCCATGACTGGTGCCTCTTCAGGTGGTGAGTCTAGCTCCACTCTTAGTCCCCCTGGTCTTACCCCTGGTATGAGTATGGGCACTTTGACATCAGGGCAAACTTCAATGCCTCTAGGTACAAGTGCAGCAGCGTTCAATATGGCTGCTTTACTTGCAGCCTCTAAACAAAAACAGCAACAAGAACAAGAACATCAGCAGCAACAACATTTACTTCAACAACGAATTCATTTATCACAACCCGCATTTTATCCTGCATCAAATTTATTACTTCCTCATGGTTATACTCAACAGGTAAAGTGTTGATATCAACTAGGATGTTATTTCGTTTTTTTGTCACTGCTAGATTTTATTTTTTCGCGGGACAAAGTAATTACTGTAAATCATCAAAATTCGGATCTTAACAATTGATGATTAATAAATTCTTAATTAACATAAATTTTTGGATCACCAGAAAAAAGATTATTTTTCACAATAATTTTAAAATGGATTTAAAATTTCACTCAGTTGAATGCTCTCATTCCAAAAGGATAAGATAGCGTCTCAGATACTCGATTTTTTAACTATTAGGTTATGGTTTTCAACTCCTTTCTAGTTCATATTCCTAGCTGTCACACTATAGAAATGATTAAAAAATACTTCATAAAATTAGTTGATTTCATTTGTACATAATTATTAACACGAGATAGAATACCGATGCTAGTATGTATATATTTATCTTATTCAGATTACTTGGGAAGAGGCGGGTAATTGAAGAGTATTTCGAGACCAATCGAATTGTTCTCTAAGGCGTTCTACTCACTGTCCCAATATCATAAACTGAAAGCGGATCACTGTCCCATGTTTTTTCGAAATTGTTTCACTAACAGCTGAGTTTTTAGTGTCTCATCTACTTGATGAGTTTGAACAAAGTGTCTAGTATCATTTTTTCACTTTCATTTCTCATTATCGCTTTCGGCCCCTATGTAGACTTTTCGTCAGTCTTTTTAAGTTGTCTCAGAGCTTTATTGCTCCCCGAACATACAGTACGGGTTTCCATGAGTCTATAAATGTACTTTAGGCTTCAGAGATCTATTGGTTGTTTTAATCTCTTGGTTCATGTTGTTAACAGACGTCACTGTTGTTAAAGCAGACTACAAACCGTCCCAGGATATCTCAGGTTGAAAACCTCTACTTTGTCAACTAAGTGTCTAGGTAGTTCTTTCTTGGATACATCCTTAGTTTTTTCAAATGAAACAAGGTCATCACACGTTCATTTACGTGCATAAATGGAATATCCTTTCTATTTTGTAAATAGTTTTATTTATTCTTTTTGCATCATTGATTGTTCATTTGTTTATGATTTAATACTTGTAGATCGCTCCTAGCATTGTTACTGCATCCAGCTCGCTGCCGGAGATTGAACGTTATTCAGACCCCATTCCATTAAGTCTATCGACAAGTATTCCCACAGTTATTCGTGCAATGCTCCAACCTGATTCTGGTCTCGATATTAGAGATCGTATCTGGCTCAAGCTAACCGTACCAAACGCGTTTATAGGTTAGTTGTAAGTTTTTGGATAAGTTTTTATTCGTCAGCCAATTCCTTTTTAGGATTACCGTTTTTAAAGACTACTCTACTCCCGCTTTGTCTAGATGTCTAGTGCATGTAACCAGCTTCGAATGGCTCATTCTGTATATATCTGAAATAACACGGGTCACAGCATACTTCGTACTTATTTGGTTTGATATCCCTTTAATAAATCTGATAAGAATTTCTTCTTTTTGCATAACTATCCATAGTTATTATAATATTTTTCGAGGTCGAACAGCTGGGACACTATCGTTTACTTCAAGACTTAGTCAACATTTAACAATTGAGTCTTAGCTTTAAAATCTAGCCCCCAAATGCGCTGGTATGGCCGAGAGCGGGGTGGGCTCACCCTCCCTCTCGAAATACTCTCACACGGCTACACGTATATAGCCACTGCCAGGGAAGTCCTACTCACTGCCTTCTCGTGGCATTACTTTTGTTTACGAAAATGTGAGGACGAAAAGCGAATGTCCGGCGCTTTAACCGGATCCCCAAACCAATGGTGCACATGGGCTCCAGTATCCTGAGGGAACAAATGGCGTATGAACCAATCGTTGGTCACCGGCTACCATGGGACTGCATCTCCTTACGATGTTCCACTGCCTTGTGGGTCAGACCTTTAGGTCGAAGGCTCGGGATGTGGCCCCCTAAGAAAACCACCTGCTTCGGTCTGGGCACCTGGGCAGTATCTCAGCCTACACACAAACTTAATGTAAATCATGATATTCACAGAAAACTATTCTCGTCTCCATTTACATTAAAAAAAATTCGCATTATTATTATTAATTATTATTATTATTATTAACTAATTAATAATAATAATAAAAAGAAAAATATATATACAAACACCTCAGGCAGAATGAGGATATACAACAACCTTTCTTCATTATTCCATTCGAGCAGTGGGCTTAGACAGGGTTGCCCAATCTCACCTTTCCTCTTCAACCTTGCCATCGATGACATTCTGGAAACAGCTCTGATGGATGTAAGAAGTGGTGGTGTTGATCTGCTGCTTGGAAAATGACTTCTCGACCTTGAGTATGCGGATGATATTGTCTTACTGTGTGATGATGCTCAAGTCATGCAATTCACACTTAATCAGTTGGCAATCAATGTCAGTAGGTATGGTATGTGTTTTGCACCTTCAAAGTGCAAAGTACTTCTACAAGACTGGCAGGATTCTAATCCTGTACTCACTCTGGATGGTGAGCAGATTGAAGTAGTCGAGAAGTTCGTGTATCTGGGTAGCTGCATAAGTGCTGGTGGTGGCGTGATTGATGAGATCAACGCACGTATAGTGAAAGCCAGAGCAGCTTATGCCAATCTGGGTCATCTTTGACGCCTTCGTGATGTCAGTCTGGCTGTAAAAGGTCGGGTCTAGAACGCGGCGATGAGAGCAGTCTCGCTCTATGCTTGTGAAACCTGGCCTCTCCGAGCTGAGGATGTTAGATGACTCTCTGTGTTCGATCATCGCTGTCTGCGAAGGATTGCTGACATCCAGTGGCAACACCATGTTAGTAATGCAGAGGTTCGACATCGTGTGTTCGGGCACAGAGACGACAATCCGATTGGTTTCACCATCTTGGAACACCGACTTCGGTGGCTTGGACATGTTCTACGAATGTCGTCCCAGAGAATTCCACGTCGTGCATTATTTGCCGACTCTGGAACTGGTTGGAAAAAGCGGAAAGGTGGTCAGTGTATGACATGGTGTCGTGGTATTAAAGAAAACTGCAAACGGCTGGCTTCTGTTGGTCCTTCACGACTCCCTGGCTTGGGTCCCAGAGATGGTGCAACACAGTGGCTAGAGACGTTTTCAGATATGGCTCAGAATAGAAGCCAGTGGCTATCCTACTGTAACCTTCCTTTACTTTTTTCATAAAAAGTGGTTGTATCTTCCTTAACTGAAAGATTTCTTCTGATTGTACCTTTCCATTTCCCCCATTATTATTACTATTACACTACCTTACACTAATCTGGTCGTTATTGTTCTCTTGTTTTTTTTATTCCCTACGTTCCTTACCTTTTTTCCCTTCTCTTTTAATTCTGATTGTTTTGTGTGGCGCATATATATTTGGTGCGCTCTTGTACGAATATTTGTGTTCAAATAAATAATAAATAAAATCTGATTAGAAATCTATGTTATTTTTATTTTTATTTTAACACATAGATATTGGTACAAGAAGGCACCAAATACATATGCGCCACACAGATCTCATTGGATATGTGTGAGGGCTGTGATACTGTCCGGGTGCTCAAACCGAAGCAGGTGGTTTTCTTAGGGGGCCACACCCCGAGCCTTTGACCTAAAGGTCTAGTCCACAAGGCAGTTGAGCATCATGAGGAGATGCAGTCCCATGGTAGCCGGTGACCAACTATTGGTTCATACGCCATTTGTTCTTTCAGGATACTGGAGCCCATGTGCACCATTGGTTTGGGATCCGGTTAAAGCGCCGGACATTCGCTTTTCGTCCTCACATTTTCGTAAACAAAAGTAATGCCACGAGAAGGCAGTGGCTATATACGCGTGGCCATGTGAGAGCATTTCGAGAGGGAGAGCGGACTCTCCCTACTCTCGGCCGTACCAGGGCATTTCTAGCTTCCTCAACCTTCGCATATTAGATGTGTTTAAAAGCCAAGGATGCAGATATGTACTAAGTGAAATTATTTCAAGTTTCTGCGCTGATCTAGATTTCTACATTAAATTTTTAAGAGTATTTCTTCGCTTGTCTGGTAAATTATGAGGGTTACTTATGAAAGGAGAGAAAGTCATGTACTTGTTTTATTGGCTTCGTTTCTTATCCGATTTCGTCTTTAACAAAATCCTCGGTTAGTATTATTGTACAAGTGAATAAACTGTTGGAAGATGATTTTGCGACTCACTCTAAGGGTCCTACTTGATGTCTTTTACAAAAATTATTTGTTGCATTTGGGGCACTAGGTTTTCACTAGTTTGACTAATTAGAATAATTTCATCTGTTAATTAAGTTGAGCTCTACTCGAAAACTAATGGTTCAAAAGGTTTAATGATCAAAGCTACCAATTATATGTGATGTATGATTCTGCAAATAGTCTGTCATTGTAATTGTTATATTTACCGTTATGTGCTATTGTCATCACTTTTTACTCATTAAATTATCTGCCGCGACATTTCTCCTTTGTCATAGTTTTTACATAAATGTAGTTTTAAGATTTATTTGTTATCTGTCGTGTCTAATCTAGTTCATTCCTACAAGAATAACATTTTGAAGAACTTTTATGCGTACATACTTTAACGTTTTCATTCACTGATATATTTCAGTTTTTCTTTTTGTTAGTTTCACATTGTACGATTTTTACTTCTCCCTCAAGGTTCTGATCTAGTTGATTGGCTTTTCCGTCACTTGGATGGTTTGACCGATCGCCGAGAAGCCCGAAAGTATGCATCTAATCTGCTCAAATTGGGATACATTCGGCATATTGTAAATAAATTAACTTTTTCGGAACAATGTTACTATGTCTTCGGGGATATAAGCGAACGTAAGCATTTATCTTATTCCTTTATTGTTTTACTTTTGTTTTTGTGAACTTACCTTTCTTGTTAACATATTACGCAATTAATACGCATAACCATATCTGTTGGATATTTTCATTCGTTTTCTTGAGCGATTTAATTTTTTACAGAGGTTAGAGTATTTATGTCTTTTCTTAGTTAACACATAATTTGACTAAACCTAGTGTGCTTTTTAGACCAATTTTACCTCACATTCTATTTTCATTACACTACGTCTCAATCCCACTGCCAATAGCAAGAAATATATCGTGGCGCATGTTTTTCTTGTTTCATGAATAAAATTAATCAGTACATCTTTATTAGGGTCTTGAGTTTATAGGAGGCACTAAAATGAAAAGTCGTAGCAAGTTAAACAAGTTGTTTCAGTATGAATATCCGTTTCTTATTTTTGATTGGTTGCGTTTCATTCTGATACATTAAGTTGTATATTGCTCTTTTTTATTTGACTTGTTGCCAAAGCCAGTAAATTTTGTCAGCTAATAATTTTTTACCTTCATATTTTTCAGATATGTCTTGCTTAAGCCTAGAAGAAGTTGATAGTGTCAGTGAAGTCGGTGCACATTCTCATCCTAATTGGGGGCACAATACAACAAGTACTAGTTTAACTGTTAGGGCTGGTGCTAATGGTAGCATGCCAGATTACAATCCGGGTTTTGTTGGATCTCATGGAATCGGAGCAGCAAGTAGAGAAGGGAATAGCAGTCAGTATAGCACAGTCCCACCGATGTATCATCCGCCTGCTCCGCCTCTTGCTGCTCCTATTCGTCAGTTGATCGCAGACGGTCAAAATATAGCTGCTAACGCAAATCTCCAGCAGCCACACAGTGGGCCCCGATTGAACAATGGAAATAGAGATAATATTTCAGGTTAGTGACAAATGTGTATTAAGTTTTATGATATATTGATATGAAGACGGTTAAAATTGTCTACTGCTATGCGAATAAATGTCCCCAGTCATCAATAGTAATTATGTCCAACAATATTCTGGGATTTAAGGACATAATATGAAGTTTATTACTTATCTGAGTTGAACCAATTATCAAACACTGGTCAAATCTAAGGAATCAAAGTCATTAGTGATAAAGTTCATACTGTTTTGTGGTTATTAATTATTGATAACTTTACTGCAATGAACATTGGTTTGTATCATTTCTGCACATTAACATAATCCTTTTTTATTTGAAGATTCATGACAGAAACGTGTTTGCAGATAACCATGATGCTCATTGTCTTGTTATTTCTCGTAACAAACTAATTTTCTGTTAGTTTTTGTGTTTAATCAAAAATTTTTAACACAATTTTGTTACAGATAAGGTGAAATATTATCGAGTAACGTTTCACACCATTTGCAATTATTTCTTTCATCGTGTTTTATTTCTGATGTAGAGTACTTAATATTTCCTTGTTTAAGGGTATTTAAATTATAATTATCTTTCACTCGTCTTCATTTACAAGATATTAATTTCAACTGTTTAATGAGCGACTAATAATCAACTGCGTAAGTTTTCTGCAAAAACCTTTCATGATATCTATTAATTTAGCATGAATCGTATTTAATACTTGTCTCAAAGTGTTCCTACTTGAAGTCACAGGCTCAGTTAATCAACGTTGAATGTTATCCTCAAAATTATCTGTCAAAATTCAATTACTGATTTCCTTCCACCTTTACATCGTTTCATATTTTTATATATCTACACTCATTAAGGCTTATGTTTTCTATATATATTATTTAAATTACAGTCCACAAAAATTTCTAAGAATTTTTGGTTATTACCATTAGTTTAGATGTTACTTAATTTTTTAATGGTTTTTTATTTCCTGAATTCCACTTTTCAGGCTATTCCAGTTCAACATCTAGCACAAGTAGTGAGTCTGGTCATTTCACTCATGAAATTCCTGGACATACGAAATCGCGCCCCAAAGAAACATCTGCAACAAACCACATTGGGGCTCAGGGATTCAACCATTCTAGACAGCAAGATCCAGTTTTACCAAATGTACGGTCACTAAAACATCAACATTCCCAGTCAAATTCTAATTTGGCACAAAGTCTCTCTGCTACTGGTGGTGTTTCAGGCAATCAGTCTAGATTAAGACCTCCTTTTTATTCTAATGGTAATGATATATCTCAACAGAATGAGCTTGCAGCATCATCTACAGGATCTAGTTCGACTTCTTTTGGAAACCCAAGACAGAATGTTCCCACTAATAATTCTGATGGCAAGCAACACCAAACACAGGATTCAGTTAAACGAGATTCTATGCTCAGTTCGAAAAGTAGTAGCAGCAGTAGCTGTACTCCGTTGAATGCAAACATGCAAGAAACGCGACTGTTCAATTCACATCGGCTGTCTCATATGTCAAATCACCAAAATTGTGCTCCTCCTCCTCCACCACGAATTTCAACTGCTGTTTCTGGTTTCACACTCACAAGTCATCCTTAGACAGTAAGAATTGTTATACAAATCCTCCTCATTTGGCGTCGGTATTTTGTGGTTAGGTCTGAAATCAGCACGGTCTCTAAAGTGGGTTGCCGAGTGTTCTCAGTAGCACTTAAAAATAGACTCTGGTCAGCTCGATGCGTGAACCTGTTTCTACTTAGCTGATATCTAATTTGAGTTGGCGGTAATTATTTCAAGTCCATTGTTTTATCATACTCATCTACTAACAAGTGATATAACTTAATTATCTAAATCATAATTAACCAGAAGATGATACAACACGTTAACACAATATTTTGTTTATACACTAAACATAAGCGACTTACTAGTTGCCCTGTGTCAATATAGTGACTCAGACAGTAATATCATAGTAGATGTTAATTCATATCAATGACACAAAATCGAGTACTAGGATTTAAAACCAGTGTTAAATTTTTAGATTAGACTAGCTCGCAGACAATGCGCACTACTTGGTTGATGTTTTACCCTTTCACATAAAGTCTTACCACTGATTTTTATCTCGTGGTCCTTAACTCCCTTCTATTTAATGGTTGCACCGATAGTCATTAGTAGAACTTCCAGTCACCATTTAATCTAAACATGTAACATATGTATTTCAAACTAATCTGTTAATACGAGTTCACTACTCAATGCTTTAGTTCGCTTGTAAGAAAGATTAACTTTAACCCAGTGACTATTGAATCACTTTTAACTAACATCTTTCTGTCAAATGCTCCAGGGCTATTTACTTATAAATACATTAATTCCTACTTTATATATATATATATATATATATATATATATATATATATATATATGGCGCTCACCAAAGTATAATATATTTCTGTGTTCATTGAGCTTATTTCAGTGCATAAAGTATACTACTGATTCATCTGTTTTTTACTCGTCTTAGAATTTGTATCTTTAATTCGCCTGTATTTATTTTTGAGTATAAAGCCTCTTAATGCTTACAAAGAAACATTACACTATCGTTTGCCTCTTTTAGTGAAATCTGGAAAAACAGAATTACCGTGGTTTGGGAAGATTTTTCTACCTCATCCCATCTCTTCTCGAAGGTTTCCAAAGAGATATAATTATTTTGACCACTTCGTTGTAATTACAGTGATATGTGATACTCGGATTTCCGTAATATAACCTCATTTCTTCACAAAGAAGCTCATCCACAACTCAGGCCATTTTTTTCCGATTTTATACTCATGAAAGTTTTTTCCCTGATACATAGTTCACTCACGCGTTAAGTTGTATATTGTGCAATCATTAACACTTTAAAATACCCTATTTGACAAAAAGATATCAACTCCTCTTGTAATCAATCTCATAGTCTACCTCGATGTATTGTTTATCATTTATCTAGTTACAACTTATTGTCTTGTTCTTGAAATGGACTCCCATATTACATATTATGTACCAATCCTTTTTTATCTACCTAATTCATTTTTATCTCATTTTCTTTCTTTCTTAACTAACAGAATGTGCTTTATTTAACCGTATTATTCAGTTTCCTACTCCAGAAATAATTTTTTCCTTGAATTCAGTTGTCGTTACGTATAATATTTGATTGATACTTAAATCATTTACAATTTTCAAATCAAAACTTTTAACTAAATCGCTTTCTTATTTCAAGTATTTCATTCTCTTAATCGTTTAGAAATCGTATTCAGTTATTTATGTTAATGCAAGTAAGAATGGGTTTCGTAAGTTTCTTGGTGTATAAAATTCTAAATGAGACATTCTGAATGGAGGAATCAGAGCGCGTTGATTTACTTATGTCGAAATTATACTAGTTAAAGCACCTTAAGATGTATAAAATTAAATTCACCTATGTTACTGAGTTGGTCTTAGTTGTTATATTTCAAAAACAACTCAGACAAGAAAAGAGGATGAATAGTGGTGATCAGCGTAATCCAGAAAACATAGTTACAAACCGGCCAAACGTCGGAAATATAAAGGAAGATCAAAAATAACTGTTACTTCACTAATGAATTTTTAAATTGCTAGGTCCTGTTACATTTGATTTATAATTAATTGTTTTATTTCGTACATTTCGTTTTCGTGGTGATTCTTTTAGCTGGTGTTCATTTAATTTATCTCTCACTATGAGCTATTCTCGTAAAAAACCTTATTGACGTCTTTGGATTCCCGAAGCAAAAGGCCGTAGCAATCTTTAATTCAAACTCACAGTCACTTTTTTTGTAAAGGACAAACGTTAATTGTAAATAGGAGTATTGTCTATTTTCGCCTCTATATCAACACTGAGAAATCCTCCTATTCTTGATTGTTGACTGTCTTGTTTGTTATTAACCATATACCTAACAAATTTCTATGTTTGGATAGTCTAAAGAAGCCTTAGACTAGTAAGGCTCTTCTTTTCAGTGAGGGTGTCTCCAGTACCATGTTTAACCCTTGATGTTCTCAACTAAAATCGGTAACCCGCTACCAATCTTTAATAAAAGCTAATGGACCTCTGAAAAACTCATTTATACTCACTGACACATGAAGTCCCATTCTCTCTGGGATTGTATGATGAGGAAAAAAGCCTAGTTGTAGACAAACAAGACCATTATGGTAATCACAAATAACTTTCGGTGTTATGGGGAAGGGGAATCTATGTGATGTAACTAAAAAGAGATAACAGAATATTACCGAGGAGTGTTAATGAGCTTCTATGATGATGTGTTGAGTATCATGAGGGACCGAACTTGACAATGAACATCCCTAAATTCCCGAAGATTGATATTGAGTGTTTAGCTTATCAAAAAATGAATAGGTGATTGGTCTTGGAAGTTTTTATTCTGATGGTTGTTAATAGTTACTGGTTTCATTTACAAATATTGTTTAGTATATAAGAATTAGTGATAGCTATGTGTTTACTTTGGTTTCTTAGCACTTTAAATCGTAATGAAGACTAAAGATTCTTAATAATCACAGTAGGGCTGTCTTGGTGCCTTTTAGGATATCCGGAGAAGCTGAGTAGGACATGTGTTGAGAAAAGCCATTAGATAAGGCTTGATTCGCTATGAATGGTGTAGTTTAATCAGGCACTACTTATTGGTATTCGGTTGTGTAATATTGAGTATTATAAAAGCTTTGAGATATGAAATGAAGGCTATTCTATAAAATAATCATTAATTGAATCATTTGGGAAGATATGGAATTTTTTTATCGAAACGTCAGGAAACAATCGTTAGATATTGTATGCTTTCAGTTTCCTACGTATTTTGTCGTTCATAAGTTGTACTTACCTTGAAGATCCTAGCTTATGTAATACCGTGGTTATACCCGTACTTTTTCTGGAGCAGTTAACTGGATCAATAATCTTTTTCAGCTCAATCATATCGTCTTGCCGAGTATAACTATATACATTCCATATTACTTGAGCTAATTTTTATGCCATATGCACTACGTAGTTACTAAGCCTTTTTTAAACTATGTTTAACGAAATTGAACTTCTGTTTCATTGAGATTGAATAATATCTGGATTACCTTCCAAACTAATCAAGTCATTACAAATAAGATTGGAAATTCTGTTTTAATGCTGCATATATTCATCCTTTCCTATTAGCATAATCAACTTGTATGGTTTAAGTTCATGAAAGCTTCGTAATTGGCTATTTCTGATTTTCTCATAATTTCATTTAACTGATATATCTATAATAATTAGAACACGTAAAGCAAAGGGAGACGATACAATATTATGCACAAATATCTAACAAAACAATTTTTTACAAGAATGAAAGTATCACTCACTATTAAGTTTTTTTAAATATACGATCAAAAGTTTTCGCTAGAGATATAGAACAGAAAGGATTAAGCTTGGACAAATAGGTATTTATCATCATGATGCGTATATTTAACGTTGAGAAATGAAATGAAACTATTTGGTGGAGAATTTAATCGTCTTAATAGATGTGTATTCACTTTATGCTTTGATCATGTAGGTATTTCAGTAATAAACTGTTTAAGTGAGGATTCCTACCATATGTCATCAATCCTGTGACATTAAGCACACGATGTTAATATGCCGAACTATGTTACAATCAGTAAACTCACTGAGATATTTTGGTTGACGTCACAGTATTCATGATTTTTTAAAACTCACATGTTCCTGTGTACAACACAAAATCACTGATTGGAATAACTTTTTACATCCCAAATATCATTCTGTTTAGTGTGCAGAGATATACTAAATCGAATAGTTCAACTATAAGATTATACAAATAATGTGTAGTGTAGAAATTTCTTAAATCTGTTCAAATTCTTTCTATCCTAAGTATAACAAACTTGAGTTTGGACGTTTTAGTTATATAATCACTAAGAAAAATAATCAACATTGAATGCCAGACGATGTGACCGTTGTATTTATAATAGACATCACTGAACAGACTAGGATTTGTCAGAAATTTTGAAAATCAATTGAAACATTAAAATGAACTAAACTCCTGAGAAATAAATGAATAGTACAGGAATTCCTGTGTTTTTCATTATTTCTGCTTAATAATATTCTCTTTTCCAACAAATATTAGATTATCACATTACCAATGTTTAAAAGTAAGTTAAATTCCTGATTTCACTAGTATTTCAATCTTATAATGCCCCCAAATGCCCTGGTACGGCCGAGAGTGGGGAGAGTCCGCTCTCGAAATGCTCTCACATGGCCACGCGTATATAGCCACTGCCAGGAAAGTCCTACTCACTGCCTTCTCGTGGCATTACTGTTGTTTACGAAAATGAGAGGACGAAAAGCGAATGTCCGGCGCTTTAACCGGATCCCAAACCAATGGTGCACATGGGCTCCAGTATCCTGAAAGAACAAATGGCGTATGAACCAATCGTTGGTCACCGGCTACCATGGGACTGCATCTCCTTACGATGCTCCACTGCCTTGTGGGTTAGACCTTTAGGTCAAAGGCTCGGGGTGTGGCCCCCTAAGGAAACCACCTACTTCGGTGTGGGCACCCGAGCAGTATCACAGCCCTCACACATACCCAATGAGATCTGTGTGGCGCATATGTACTTGGTGCCTTCTTTTACCAATACCTATGTGTTAAAATAAATCTTATAATATTTTGATTAAATTAAGAATAATGATGATAGTCAGATAAATATGAATTTCATTTATTTAGTAAATTCTTTTTAACACATTACAAACTATAAACAATAGTATTAATGAATTTAAAAAAAAAACAATACAACATACATAATTTGTGTGAGAAAAGTCGTGATTTAAAATAGATATGACGTCTAAATGTAAATTATTAAAGGACATTATTTATGAACGAATCAAAAATTTGTTTAAACGGTTATCTATTTATAAGTTAAATGTCCTAATGTTCTAGAATAAATCACTGTAAAGAACATAGGAATAGTCTATAGAAATGAAAAAAATATAGTGTAATAGCTTATGTATTTACTTTAGATATCAGAAGTAAAACGGAATACTTGAGTAAATTTCTGATTATAAGTGAGAAATAAGAAATCATAAGAAAAACAATTATTTAGCATACATCACTAAAACAATTCAAAATTGATAACTGCATATTTTTGAATACTACTCCTACTTCTATACTACAAAACTTCGCACGTCGGGACAGTCGGTGGTCGGTCATGCGCAACACATGTCCTAGCCATCTCAACTGATTAAGTTTTACCACTTAATCAATTGATTTGCCATCGTTACCTAGTACCTGTTTCCTAACAACTGCATTACTTACTCGGTGGTCCCAGGATATACGAGCAATGTTTCGAAGACACCTATGGTCAAATACTAGTAACCTACGAATATCATCTACTCTCACCGGCCATGCTTCACTGCCATAAAGTAGGACGGAACGAACTGCTGCGCAGTAAACACGTCCTTTGGTTGATAGACGGATATCTCGCCTACGCCATAAATGACGCAAGTTGGCAAAAGCTAGTCGAGCCTTCTGTATCCGTGCTGAGATTTCGTCACACACCAGACCACAAGGGCTGATGAGACTTCCGAGATGAGTGAAGCGATCGACACGCTCAACTACTGCATTCCCTATCACTAGTTCGGGTGTCGACGCAACCTAATCCTGAAGCAACATTTTGCATTTCGAGGGAGGAAATCGCATGCCGAACAGGCTTGCATTGTCGCTTAGAGTGGTCAGCAGACTCTTCAGTTTGTCTTTATAACAATTATTCCAGGATAGTATAGAATTTAGGAGAAATTTGATGACTTTTAATTCACCTCAAAGTTTCTACCTTTTACTAATCTACATCTACATTTCATACCTATTTTAAATCACGACTTTTCAAATTATTAATACCACTGTTTCTAATTTGTAAGGAACTGAAGAGAATCTGTCAAATAAACGAGTTCAAATTTATTCTATAGTAATCGTTGTTTTTACTCTGTTCAAATTCATAAAAGGGGGAAATTGTGTGAATTCCGTTCAGAAAAATCAATTTTTTTAGTTTTTAATGATGATAATTTCTGTTCGAAAATTACTAACCAAGCCATCATCAACTGTTTATCTAGTTTATGTTCTGAATAGATTGCATTAGCTGAAAGGTTTTTTCGTAAATCTATTATCTGGGTAGTAGACCGATTCCGAAGTAAATCCAAATTGAGGATGGGAACAAAGAAAGATTAGACTGTCATACAGAATGTACAAAATTGTGTTGGAATGATAATCAGATTCTTACTAGATTACTTAACATTATCATTGTTTTCACAATATCTGAATGTTTTAGCAAGAATGAAATTACTTCTGGTAACTCCTGAAATATGAATGAAGAGTTGTTTGTTATTATGTATTTCTAAGATTATTTTTTATTGAAAAGTATTATCAGGTGATTTTTTTCGAACGTTGCATAAATTTAAAAACGTTTTTACTTACTATAGATCTTTGCTTCGCGAATAGTGCTCTATCTTCGTCATTATTTAAGAATTCACTTTTACGTAGACTGATCGATACGATGCTCTAAAAGATTTAAAAACAAATTTCAAGAGAATTTGTGTTAAATAGTAAAATTATGGGATTTACACAAATTGCCAGTGACGTTAAACGATCGTCTCGCAATATAAGTTAATAAGAAAGATACATTCAGTTCGAATCAACGATCTAAAAGCAACATGCTCGTCAAGAGACCTGAATGTCCTGGGTTCACTCTATGGTGCTGTCGTGGGCGCACATTTCTGAATAGTCCTCTACTACGAGGAAGCATATTTCCGGTGCTGTGTGGTTTCTAACGTTATCTCACCTGAGATCAATGTATAAAGAATACCGCTTACAAATTAATTTAGCGCCACAAAAACTACTTCAGGACTGTATGGTATTAAAAATAATGAATGCATTTGGACAAGATGAAATCATTTGATTACATTAGGTTCTCATCAAATTCATACTCAGTATTCGTATAATTTATCATAATGACGGATAGTTGAGAAAGAAAACGATTAAATAAAGGTTTATTCGAGCAGTTCAATCGGAATAATAATAATAAAGTCATTACCTTTTAAAATGCAACTCCGCCTGTAGCTCTTCCAGAGTTACTGCCGGTCCCAAGCCCGGGTAAAGGAGGAGGGTTGGGCATGGGGTTAGCGTCCCCATCCCGTAGAAACCTAACTCGCTAAAAAAAACGCTAACCAGAAAAAATAACTCAAACCATTTAAACTCTGCCCTGGGAGTTAGAGGTAATATGACGCTTCATGGTGAAAGCCGAGTTCCTTCGGAAGCCGCGAGGCCGATGCCCCTTCTAACAACCAGAGCAACAATTTTTATAGGTACATGGAACGTCCGGACAATGTGGGAGAACGGGAAGACCAGTCAAATAGCAACGGAAATGAGGAGATACAACTTGGCAGTACTGGGAATCCGCGAAACCCATTGGACCCAAGCTGGACAACAAAGGCTAAATACGAGAGAGATGCTGCTATACTCCGGTCACGAAGAGGAAGATGCTCCACACACTCAGGGAGTTGCTCTAATGCTATCCAAAGTAGCACGAAATGCACTTGTAGGATGGGAATCTCACGGATCCAGAATCATCAAAGCATCATTCAAAACAAAGAAGGAGGGGATCACAATGAACATTATCCAATGTTATGCACCCACCAATGATAGCAACGACGACGTTAAAGATCAATTCTATGAGAGGCTGCAATCAATCATAGAGAAGTACCCAAGAAAGGACCTCACCATTCTGATGCGAGATCTAAACGCCAAAGTCGGAATGGACAACGCCGGATATGAAGACATCATGGGACTACATGGACTGGGAGAGAGAAACGAAAACGGGGAAAGATTTGCAAATCTGTGTGCATTCAATAAATTGGTCATAGGCGGTACAACATTTCCACACAAACGTATACACAAAGCTACTTGGATCTCACCGGACCACACCACAGAGAACCAGATAGATCACATTTGCATCAATAAAAAGTTCCTAAGGACAATGGAAGATGTGAAAACCAGGAGAGGAGCGGACATAGCTTCAGATCATCACCTGGTTGTGGCCAAATTGAAACTGAAGCTAAAGAAGAACTGGACAACTGGACAAACAGCACCACAAAGGTTCAATACAGCCTTCCTTCGAGATACTGACAAACTCAATGAATTCAAGGTAGCTCTCAACAACAGGTTCCAAGCCTTACAGGATCTGCTGAAGGAAGAAGAAACTACTATGGAGGATAGCTGGAAAGGTATCAAAGAAACATTAACTTCAACGTGTGAAGAGGTTCTGGGCCCCAAGAAGCATCATCACAAGGAATGGATCTCTATAGAAACACTGGACAGGATCAAAGAAAGAAAGAACAAGAAGACAGCAATTAACAACAGTCGAACAAGAGCATAGAAAGTCCAAGCACAAGCAGAGTACATAGAAGCAAACAAGAAAGTGAAGAAGAGCATTAGAGCTGATAAGCAAAAATACGTGGAAGAACTAGCAACGACGGCGGAAAAAGCTGCAAGAGAAGGAAATATGAGACAGCTTTACGATACGACGAAGAAGCTTGCAGGGAAATACAGTAAACCAGAGAGACCAGTCAAAGACAAAGAAGGAAGACCAATCACTGAGATTCAACAACAGCGCAACAGATGGGCAGAGTACTTCGAGGAACTCCTGAACAGGCCGGCTCCAATGAATCCACCGGACATCGACGCAGCACACACAGATCTTCCTATAAATGTCAATCCACCAACGACAGAAGAAATCAGAATGGCCGTCAGACAAATCAAGAGCGGGAAAGCAGCAGGACCTGACAATATACCAGCTGAAGCGTTGAAGTCAGACATCGAAGTAACTACAAGCATGCTTCATCTTCTATTCAAGAAGATTTGGGAGGAGGAACAAGTGCCGATGGATTGGAAAGAAGGACACCTCATCAAGATTCCAAAGAAAGGAGATCTGAGCAAGTGTGAAAACTACAGAGGCATTACACTACTGTCAATACCGGGTAAAGTCTTCAACAGAGTGTTACTGAACAGGATGAAAGACGCAGTTGACGCTCAACTTCGAGATCAACAAGCTGGATTCCGTAAGGACCGGTCGTGCACAGACCAAACTGCGACACTACGGATCATCGTCGAACAATCAATTGAGTGGAACTCGTCACTCTACATCAACTTCATTGATTACGAGAAGGCATTTGACAGTGTAGATAGGAGGACGTTATGGAAACTTCTTCGACACTACGGAGTTCCTGAGAAGATTGTCAACATTATCCGGAACTCATACGACGGACTACAGTGCAAAGTAGTGCATGGAGGACAGCTGACAGACGCATTCCAAGTAAGGACCGGAGTAAGACAAGGCTGCCTACTCTCTCCCTTCCTGTTTCTTCTGGTGGTCGACTGGATTATGAAGACCTCGACATCTGAGAGAAACTACGGCATACGATGGATAGCTCAGAACCAATTAGACGACTTGGACTTCGCAGATGACCTAGCCCTCCTATCACATACACACGAACAAATGCAGATAAAGACAGCCAGCATAGCAGCAGTCTCTGCATCAGTAGGCCTCAACATACACAAAGGGAAAACCAAGGTCCTCAAACACAACACGGAGAACAGCAATCCAATCACTCTTGATGGCGAAACTCTGGAAGACCTGGAATCCTTCACATACCTGGGAAGCATCGTCGATAAACAAGGAGGTTCAGATGCAGACGTCAAGGCGAGGATTGGCAAAGCTAGAGCGGCATTCCTTCAACTGAAGAACATATGGAACTCAAAACAACTTTCAACCAATATCAAAGTCAGAATCTTCAATACGAACGTCAAGGCAGTTCTACTGTACGGAGCTGAAACTTGGAGAACTACAACAACCACCATCAAGAAGGTACAGGTATTTATTAATAGCTGTCTACGCATGATACTCAACATCCATTGGCCGGATACCATCAGCAACAGCATTTTGTGGGAGAGAACCAACCAGCTTCCAGCTGAAGAGGAAATTAGGAAAAGACGATGGAAATGGATAGGACATACATTGAGGAAATCATCAAACTGCATTACGAGACAAGCGCTAACTTGGAATCCTGAAGGGAAGCGGAAAAGAGGAAGGCCAAAGAACACATTACGTCGGGAAATAGAAGCAGATAAGAAAAAGATGAATAAGAACTGGAAAGAGCTTGAAAGGATTGCCCAGGACAGGGTTGGATGGAGAATGCTGGTGAGCGGCCTATGCTCCTTCACGAGGAGTAACAGGCGTAAGTAAGTAAAAAGTTTTAAAATGCGGACAAATTTCACTTGGAAACTTTAACGAACATTGAATGAAACTGATTTTAATCACTTACAAATGATATGTAGTTGGAAAACTAAATTCACATTAAAGTAGATTGAGAAATAAAAAAACAACCATCTTTAAACACAGAATATTTAGGTTATTCAGATGAAATCGAGTTTTCTTTCTAAATATTTATTAAAGATTTACTACAATCATTTAACTGATACTTTACATAAATTAGTTATCTAATGAATAAATTACTTAAGGTATTTATTTGCCATATTTGATTGAATGTTAATATTGGAATCAATAAATTAGTACGATTTTTTCAAAAATTTTATACAATTCATTCCCTTTTATGAATTTTACTTATGTCATTTGTTTCATGCTATTTCTTACCTTAATGTAAAATTCTAATAAGCAGCTGATGAGAAACGACGAAACATAGTGAATTTATATTATTCCGCTTCAATATTTGTTCTGGCTTTATTTAAATATTAGTACGAGCTGATTAAATGTCATAACTAACAATGTACTTAATATAGGTTATTGCATGGAATAAAAATGTTGCTCACACCAACTAGAATAGGGTTTAACATTTTATTATTATTATTATTGTTATTATTATATCCTTCTTATTAGTAAATAAAATACATGTCATTACAGTACTTGATTCATTCAAATAAGATTTATGAGGTTGGCTATTGTTCAAGTTAAACAGTTGCCATTTTTTTGTTATTTGAAAAATTTCACTTAAAGGTTTTACAAATATAACATAAATTCACTTAACTTTGCATTTTGTCAAATAATTTTTCTTTTTCCCAGTGAACCTAAATTTCTCGATGAGTTAAGCAACTATTCTTTATCAGATCAGAGAAACCTCATTAATAGTCTTTTAATTATCATTTAAATTGTAAATAATAAAAATTTATTATTATATGGTTTGAATTTTGATTATTTATCCAAAATTGAAAAATTGAAATCAATGTAATTAATTTTCATCGAAGATTAATGATAGAATTTACAGAATGTAATGCATTCATTGTATTCTTTTCACATTTATATAAGTCAATTGGAATTTTAGAGGAATATTGATGTATTTCAGATTTGATATATAAATTATTTGTCACCATGATAGATTTTTAGACATAGGATTACAATATTGTTTAGAATATATATATACAAATTTAGAACACTGGAATGATAAAAAGATAGAAATCTACATATTTTGTTGAAGAGAATCTAAAATATTTCCTTAATTTTTTTGTTAATAACAGCGATAAATATTTGATTGTACATCATCTGTTGTACATTGGATGTGAAGTAAGTTTAACAAGTGTAGTGTGTCCTATCGATCTTGACAGATATAAGTAGTATGTGTCATCAATTAAACGTGAAATGCTTGGAGGTAGAAGGTTAAAAGGATCAAAGAAAGGAGAACGAGAACAGTGAATGATTGCTGTGGAAATTAAGGAACAATGAAGTCTGAGATGATTGATTGACATTTGCAAAATGAACAGTCAAGTTTGAGATAAGTGGTTGAAATTTCGCAAATTAAGCATTTACTGTATGGATCCCAGATTTTACTAATATGTTCTGTAATTTTGTGTTGAAATTCATTTAATTATCCCCACTTGTGTTCTTGTTCACTATACAAGTACATTCATATAATCAGTAAGTAATTTAATTTCTAGTATTCCTAGTTTAAAATGAGACTTTTGTATTGAAAAAGAATCGGTTGTCAACTTTTAATTGAACTGTTAATATATAAGCAATATGAATAACCTTATTGCCTCTTCTCTTAGCTATGATTATAATGTATTATGTTTATCAAAATACTCCCCATTAATTGCGTAGTAAAATTATCTCTAATACTTGAAATATTTATGAAAACCATTCCCTCAAAATATTTTCATTTCACTTTCGTTTCTAAATGAATTCATTATTATCTCGTGAAATATTCACCCCTTAAATTGCAAGTATAGTAATATTTATTAAAATATTTAACTTATTGAACTCATTTGTTTGTACGTAACTAAAAAGAGGATGCAATGATATAGAAATTAATTCGTTATATTCTGGAAAACCTTAACAAGTATATGTGTGATCAGATTGTTCGAAATGTATTGCGCTAATATATCACATAATTCTGATAAACTTCGTCTTCTCATTGCATTATCAAAATTTATCAAAGGGACTAACTGTTTTATATTAGAAATTAGTCAGAAAAAATGAATAACAGGTTATCAGTTTGTTCCTCAACTGTGTAATAAATGAAAGCGTTTTTCATAATAGTGTTGTTAAACTCCACAAATGACAATTAAATATAACTTAGTTACATTATCCAATAAAAGTCAGGAAATAATGTAAGCTACCAAGTAAATGAAGATATTTTGACCTTTTCTAAAGAGAATTACATACAATATGAAATGACTGACAAGCTATTTTGCCTATACCTATGATGTACAAATATTTTTAAGGTTATGAATTTATAAACTTGTAATTTCAAACATGGTACTAACTGATTTCTATAGAAATGCTTATTGTTTTCTTACACGAAATCTTGTACAACAGTTAATAAAATGAATATCTCTGAAGCCCAACACTTCAATAAATCCATTCCTTTATTATTCCAAAATATCATGTAAATAACTGTTCCTTTTTGTCTATTAAAATACTTGACTGGCCTGTCTTTAGTCGACAGATTATGATCTTTTTCCTTAGTCATATTAAGCTGAATTTATTTTAGTGGTAAACGTTTATATTCAATCAACTTAATATTCAATACTAACAATAATCAACAATCCAAATGTTTATAATGGCTCATATTAGAAAAATTACATGATGAGAATAATTAAGCCGTTTCACAAAAGTTATAGACGATAGACAGAAAATAACATTCACTATTTATTTTACGACCTCAATTCTTATCTTTCTTTGATAATTAGTTATGTGGCATGTAATCCATAGACATATTATATTGGTTAAAGACTTTGTATATCTTCGGTTAATTTACTAATGATCCTGTGTCCCACTAGATATTGAGTCAGAGCTTGTAAATATGTTCGGTCGGCGAAATCACCTATGAGTACTTGGTTATTGGTAAAATTATTATGAATAGACTAAAGATTAAAGACAATTGTACTTCAACTCGGCCCCTGAGAGTAACCCTGTTTGCACAGATACTTTAAAGTCCTGGACTTGATGCCAAGCTATGTTTGACTGCACATTATCGAGAAGTTTCAGATAGGACAAAAAATTGTCCATATTTTCAACTAATGTCATGGCATTTTAAGAACTGTGACCAAATAACTTAGTTAATTGCCTACAATGCCTTTTTAAATACATCAGTATTTTGTCTTGTTCTCATCAGGCCAAATAACTTGTTGCTAGATTCTATCCGTTATCTGTTTTTGGTAGACGGTTGTCTTATCATACACTTCTGACCATCGCTGACAAGCTTCGATTGCAAGTAACTATGTAAAAGATTATGGAAGATTATTTATGGCAGAAATAGTCTAGTAATTTGATGGATAAAATGGATTTATAAAGCAGTCATAAAAATCATAGACCACAATGATCAAAGTATATACTACTTCACATTTTCATATTTGAGCTCTTTAATAGGTATACAACAGTGCACACATAACTGATACAAGCGAACCGTAGTATATAGCACATAATAATTATCTTATTCATAATGGATGAATTCTTTTTTAAAATTAATTACATTTATTGTATTTGGAAACTTTTACCTATTTTATGTTCAGGAAATTATCAGTTTAAATTCTAGTTTTAATGAACCACAAAATGAAATATCATGGTAGAAGTAATGGGGAGTAAGTAGTGATAGTGCAACTTTAAAAAAATGAAAACATGTAGCTTAGAAGAAACCATCATGAGTGAACAAAGGATTCTTTCACCATAATTTAAAACTGAAGAACCCGATGAATATGTATCGAAAACCATATATCACTAACTTATTTTCTATTCTGGGAAAGGTAACACCTAATCATGAGTAACCAAGATTCGATCGTGTGCATAAAAACAGATTACAACAGAATATTTTAATTTCTACAGAACAACCATTATGTATATTTAACACATGTATGTGTTCATCCAGTCAAATATTATGCATCAAAACTATAACAATGTTGCGACTAAGTAAAATACTGTCTTGTTAGACAGTGATCATTAGTTAAGTATTCTATATATTATTTTCCAGTCTACAGATGAGGAAATGGCCATTTGTATAGTTGCATAAATAAAAGTGAGGAATATGAATGAGAACTAAACCTTATTGTTTACACCACAGACTGGTTTTAGCTAAACAGTCACTAAAAACATGAACTCATTAAATGAATGTTTCGTCTTAGTATGAAACTCCTCAGAATCTTACACCTAAAAAACCTTCTGGGGAGTGTTTAACCTTCAAACTCTTAAGTTGAGATTCAACGATAGTCACACAATAATGCAGACTGATTGATGTGATAACTCAGTGCTCTGAAGTCTAAACACCCCAGAAAGTCTGATGGTCCTGAATTCAATTACAAACGAATTCGTCAGTGTGAACTTCTCAGGAGTCATATACTAAGACGAAATAACTATCCAGTGGTTGGTTGGGCACACCTAGTTCATGGCCTAGGATTTTATGCGTCAGTCATCTGATGTAATGCTCCTTATATCCACGGGTTTAAAGACTAGTTGTATTCCTAGTTTCACTGAAACTGATGTCCGAAAATGTCTTCAGTCACTTAATTCATCCCAATGTCTAGGACCTGATGGTATCCAAAACCTCCTTTTTTTATAAAGTACGCTGATGTTCTATGTTATTCACTTATGCTGTTCATTCGTATTTATAGTTGTATTGTAAATACGAATGTAAAGCTTAAGTGAAGGATTTTGTCGAAAATAAAATTTTCTTCACTAAATTCTCTTCGTCTTTATTCAATAACACAATCATTTATTTAAAGGTATCCGTATATGTGAAGACATGGTCACTTAATATTAATAATAATGACCAAATAATATTACTGAAAGATCATTAGTAGGAATATTTTCATCTAAAATTACACTAAATGTTATAGTCAACAAATAAGATTTCAATTTCAATAATAGATGGAAATATCAAAAGAAAAACTAATAAATAAAAAGATAATTAAGTTTGGCAAAATAATCACTGACTAACTTTTGATCTATTTGATTTATTGATTTGTTGAGTTGAGAGTTGTTGAGAAAAATTACTCATAGATCGTTTTATACAGTCATCTATAGAAAGAAATTCTCTTGTCAAATGGTTTTAACATACTATTCAATAGCATTTAGCATCAAACTGAAAGTTATTTTAAAAAATATATAAATCATATATTCATTAACGACTAGTTTTTTGAGGTAATACTGGAGTTTCGGCTAAAAGCCATGACAAGTGAAATGTGATTATTTTGAATGTGTAGGAGTTATCCAGCAAATATATTGGAAGATAGTTTTGTGATATTGAGCATTGGCTGAAATTAAACATGCGAACCAGTAGTGATCTGGAATTTACATGATCGCAGTTGGATTGAAGGTTCTGATTTGGGCTTTCAAGGACGGGGTAGGTGGATGACCACTACTGAAAGCTTCCACACTAAGACGAAACAACTATCCTTTGCTCTCCGGTTTTCAGTCGTATTTCGGCTAAGACCAGTCAGTGATGCAAACCATAGAATGGGAATGGTTTTTCGAATAGTTAATGAGCTGAATCTGGATGATAATACTTCTGTCCTGATTCGGATAAACTAAAATCATTATGTCTCATCATGAAAGTCTCTGAAATAAGTTTAACATTTTGTCACATCAAAATACACGTGCTAGGCTACAAAGCTATTGATATAGACTTTTTTTAAACGTTCTTTTAAACGGTGCTTTAGAACCTTCGTCTTTATAGCAGAAAAGCAAACACTGAATAACATAATATAATGCTAGTTTCTCTTCTGATTAGCTTCATAACACACCCATTAGTTATCGAGAGACTTGACATTTACTAGTGATTTATAATCCAGGAAGTTTTGGATTACTTATTTTTTATAACTGATACTATTTTTGCCACCCAATGGAAGTTGTCAAGATCCGTACATCTGTATAGCTGATTCTGATGGTGATTATGAACAACCCTATCAATAATAACTGTTTTTGGTGAAATACTTATTAAAACAGTTACTTTAAGACTTCCACCACAAATGCTCAATGGAATGAGTTGTATAACGAATGTTTAGTAGATCAGCCAGTTTTAGACGTTTTCAATTTACTGGAGCTGTAAATATTTTGTCTATAAGAATGATTTTGTTGTAGGGACCGATGACATAACAACAGAGCAAACATTGCTACAAATTATACAAAATATATGAAGTTGGATTTTAGTAGCTACATAAAATGTCGGATAACTCAAGCCTTCTTTATATTGACATATGTTGAAGAATATCAAGTTTAAACTATTCTAAAAATGTATTAGTAGGAAAAAATTATCTGAGGTAATGTTTCGCATACATGGAGACTAACATATTGCTCAGTTAAACAATTTTGGTTATTCCATGGTGTGATGAAGGAATACTGCTTTAAAGACACTACTTATTATATACTCAAAAGTATACTTTACTAGCTTTGGTTTCAATCGCTAAACTGTCTCATTTTTGTTTTATATCATTGCTATTTATTATCAGTTATGTTTAATAGCACCCTAATCTGATTCTTATGTACTCACTGAATCGTTGATTTTCATTTTCTCTTCTTCTTCTCACTTCCAGATTTTTCCACACACTTGTCTATACACTTCCTCGTCTCACAATGTGCCTTAAAGCTAGACAAAACTTAATAAGAACTAAGAACTAGAAATTCTACGAACTTTTTTTGATTATCATTGGCTAACATCCCTATTCTATGCTTATTTTTGCGGATAATTTGTATGTATGAAAAAGTAATTTATTTATGGGTCATGGCTGTTTACTTTTTAATACTCAGATATGATAGAACGGTATATAATCATGAGGTTCCTCAAGTATCTGACCTATTAAGATGGAGAGAAAATAAAATTTCCATTTTTTTCAAGTGTTTCTAACCTTCAGTGAATTTTATTTCACTAACTTTTTAAATATACTGTTCTTTGTATAATTCAGCTCTATCCTTTTGTTGAAGCGTTTGCTTTATACGAGCTGATTCATTGCTAAATGATGTCCAGATATTTGAAGGAACAGTTCATTTTACAATACTTGGTCAAGTTTATTATCTTTGAATCCATCAGTATGCTATTTTTTAGAATGTAGATATTCGCCACTTTGTTTTCCTAGAATTTAAAATTAAGTCCTTTAGTTATCGAAATAATATTTAAGACCTGTTTATCGACATGAATATTGACATGCTAAACAGAGTAAAAAATGTACTGTTGATTTGTGAGCTTTATTTTTGATCATTTATGTTTTGATACTATTTTGCAGCCGGATAGCGGTTTAAGCTCATTAATAAAATCATTCTAACCATTTGATTAGTAATTCAGCCATCTGAATTATATTCAGCTATGATATGGAGGTTCTGAAAACAAGTGGTACTCTAATCAACTTTGTTTCTTTTCGGCATTTATCAACTGCCTATTCCGTCATCGTAAATACGCATTCTAGTTGTTAGACTGTCGTTATAGTTGAGTAAATATTGTCCGTTTTTTCTAACAAACTGAAAGAAATATAATCTAGTATCAGGTGTTAACAATGTAGTCACTAGTCCAAACAATAGTTAACAAGTCGCTGGCACAAATATTTAACACTAAGAGTTGACTTAATAGAAATCTACCATTGACATTAAACGATATATTTTTAGTTTAGGGGGATATACATAGTGCTTCTAGTTTATGTATTTTATTTGGATGAAATTTTTAGTGTGCTCGCTGAATAGTCCGCCTAATATTTTTGTATAATGCTCGTGTAATTTTGCTTTATACTTTTTAATATCTTTTAGGTTATATTATTTTAAATACTCATATCAAGTATGCAGATAATATCTGTAAATTACATTTAAAAAACGAGGTTTATTGCTTAGCACTTATATATGTACACGATTGTTTAACCACACGGTTTACGGACTGGTTAAAAATCAGTTCATTTGTTTGGGCCATAAAATCTCTTTTGTATCAGACGAAGTGACTTAGATTGTACGAAAGGTTAAACATTCACCTGGAATTACCTGGACCATCCGTTAATCCATGAATCTGGTTTAGATGTTTTAATGTACAAACTTCGTTAAATTTATGGACTTGAAAACTTGTGGATAATTTTACTGGGGTGCATGACCTATGTCTCTGTCTCATGTTTTGCACTATCTTCTTACCTATCAAGTAAATGACAAAATTTGCATTTATTACGAATATGTACAAGCTGAAGTAAATTTTTGTATTTGTAGACAAAGTAGTCTAGTAAGACTCACATTAATTATAGCGCTTGAGTATTGATAAATACTTCTACTTGTTATGCAAAGTAACAAACTCTTTCTCTATAAAACAGTTTATTACGTAACAAATACAAACGGCGCTTATTTACTTCCCTTATTTACAGTATATATGAAAAACACAAAACTCCTTCAAAGTCTACTTTTTATGATAAAGATAAATCACATTCGAATAGTTCGCTAACTGTTACTGGAAACGTCACAAAATTTTTACAGCTTGTCAAAACTGTTAACGTAACTGTTAACTTGAACCCTGAATAAATCTACCAACAACACAATCTTTAATGGTGACGTAGTTAGTGAATCTCTATAGCTTTTTTATTTTTTGTTTCAGACTGATAATTACTTAGTTCTCTGCATTAAAGACGTCTTAGCCATTGAATAATGACAGTGCTTTTATATCCCTGTTCTCAACAGTTACTTACAATATCACTTGATATGTTGTAGCGTATACTCAGACTTTGGTATAAGTCTTCGATATGATACAGGTTACTTATGGGGATGGGAAGATGACACAATGTAATGATGCATCGAAAATTGTATAATGTCTTTCCTAAGACTGAAATTTACTGAATGTTTTGATATGATATATTAAGGTCCACATGCGCTATTCAAAAAGGACAGTGGTATTTTTCCTCGCTGAGTAAATTCTTTTGTTTTGATCGTTTATACGTATCAAAACTACTGTTTTTCACTTTAATTGAGTTTCTTTCAGTTAAAGTATTCGATTAGATTATCGTTTTTGTTTGTAAAGCAGTTTTGTTGTCAGTACTTTTGAGTACTCTGTTTTTTTTATAGTATCTGTTAGTACTTTTGGTTCTAACGATCCACAGTTTTTCCACTTTTTTTGGTCATAGATTATTTTTGTCCCTGAGTATTTTTGCATCTAGTTCTTTCTAAAAAAACCCGGTGTTTAAATGACTGGACAGTGCAAAAAAAGTAATTGTCAACGCCTGGGCTGTCGTTATCCTGTTGAAAGCGGCATGCAGTGCGATGAGTGCAAAGGATGGTACCACGAAGTTTGCACAAATTTAACGCCTGCAGCTTTCAAACGGTTCAGTAGGAATGGTTGCGTATGGCTCTGTCAACAGTGCTGTTCGGATGCTAACAGCTTGCTAACCGAGGCCATCTCATTGGTTAGTGCTGCTAAAAAATGTTTTGGCAAGAGTGGTCGCGACACATCATCAAGTACTCGCTCCGTTGACACGCACATTGGCGTGAGGCAAACTAAAGTGAGTTCGAAAACAGATGACTCGCACCGACCAAAGGAGGGGGAACAGTCCCCAAAGAGTTCTGCCCGCACAAAAATCTCAAGGAAAAATGTTTCTTCTGTCCCACGTCCTCAAAATGGTATCCAGAAAGAAACACATAGAAGCCACAACCGCAAGGCTCGACCAGTTTCTAAAGGGACACCAAACCTGACCTCCCAAGTCATCGAAAACCCTCCGGAATCCCACAGTATGTTTGGCGCGACTGTGGTTGCTTCTCCAAGCAACGTTGACGAATAGGTACAGGTTGTGTGGAAGAAACAGAAAAACGATATAAAAGGGAACCCTGCCCCCACAAAATTAGTCAAAAAATCGAAGGCTGATCACAGTAACAGATCAGTCATTTTTCATAGGATCAAGGAGAGTGAAAGCTTCGAACCAAAAACTCGTTTTGAGCATGACATTGTCCTGATAAAACAGCTACTTAATCAACTCATGCCTCAAAATATCTCCGGAGTCACCTTGCTAAAGGTGTATAGACTAGGTAGTTTAGCGAACTTGAAGCCTAATCAATCTAGACTGCTTAAAGTAGTTTTCAAATCTTCGAATGAAAGGGACTTAATTTTGCAGAATGGACATAAATTAAAGGGTTCGGGAGTTTTTATCCGAAAGGACTTGCCGTTGGCAGACCGTGTAAAAAGGCGGGAAGCCGAAAAAGAACTACAAATGAGGTTAGACGCTGGCGAAAAGGACCTGAAAATTGTAAATTTTCGGGTTGTGAGGCTTCGTCAGAGAATGATGGCGAAGCCACTCTGGGTGGAACACGAAGCCACTTAAATAGGCTACGGATCTGTTACACTAATGCCCGAAGCTTGCTCAATAAGCTATCGGAACTAGGTGAACAGATTGACTCGACAAAGCCAGACATAATCGCAGTCACAGAAACCTGGTTGACACAGTCTATAGATAATATGGAACTCGATTTTGAGGGTTTTACTTTAGTAAGGACCGACAGAATACATAAGCGTAAAGGAGGGGGAGTAGCTCTATTCATTAGGAATGCTATCCCGTTTGTCATTATTGATAGTGTATCCCATGATAGTGGGACGTGTGAATTGGTTAGTTGCCGCTTGAAATTCAAGGGGCAAGAGCTGCTGATTGGTTTGGTCTATCGCAGTCCAAGCTGTGAGGTAAATGATGTCCTGTTAAACAGGCTCAAAAATTGGTCGCGAAGTGGTCGATGGCTAATCCTACGGGACTTTAATGCACCTATGGTAGACTGGGAAAATCTGCGAACCGAATCATCAGATAATTCCTTCGAGCAGGAACTAGTTGATGCGGTTATAACATGTGCCCTAGTGCAACATGTGAAAGAAGCGACTAGGTACAACCCAGACATTGAATCATCCTTACTAGATCTTATGTTAACTCACTATGAGGATGACGTTGCGAACCTCCATCACATGCCACCCCTAGGTAAAAGTGATCACGCAGTTTTAACTTTTGACTTCCATATAACTGTCAATCACGAGCAAGCGTCGACTCAATCCAGACCTAACGTCTGGAAAGCAAGCATACCAGATATCATGCACTCGGCATCATTAGTAGATTGGACAATAGACCCAGAGTCCTCAATTGAAACGGCTTGGGATGCATTCCGAAATTTATACTTAAAAGTTACCGCACCCCACATTCCTTGGACTATACCAAGAGGGCCGAGAAACTCCCCACCATGGTTCAATAGGGAGGTCCGCATCCTTCTCCGTAAGAGAAGAAAAATGTGGGATAGATTTAGGCTACTGGGGACTGATGAAACAAAATCTCAGTACCGAAAAGCTAGGACTACCTGTGCCTTGACCCTCCGTAAGTCTAGAAAGCTGTACGAAGAAAAAATTGTTAAGGAATCCATAGAATGTCCTAAACGCCTGTATTCCTATATAAACCAAAGGACAAAAAGATGAGGAATTATTCCTGCACTATGGGGAGACAGTACTGCTGCATCATTAATGGAAGATGACTTTGGTAAGGCTCAAGTGTTCTCAAACTACTTTAGCAATGTATATACCATAGAAGCACCCTTCCCGTCAGCGCATACAAACCCCCCCACACACACACTGGATAGCGTGACCATAAATGAACTCGATGTCTTTGATCTGCTAAATAAGCTTGACATAGGTAAATCCATGGGGCCCGATGAATTGCATCCTAGGCTACTAAAGGAATTATCTAACTTCGTTGCGAACCCTTTAAGTATATGCTTTAAGCTATCCGTAACGCAGGGTCGTTTACCAAAAGACTGGAAGAACGCCATAGTAAGTCCTGTCTTCAAAACAGGTACGAAACATAAACCTGAGAATTACCGACCCGTTAGCCTAACTAGTGTGGTTGTTAAAATCTTAGAAAAGATTATTCGGAAAGAGCTGTTTAAATACCTCGATGAAAACCGAATCCTCTCGGAGAAACAGCACGGTTTCAGAATAGGTTATTCTTGTCTCACTAACTTATTAGTCACTTGAGAAAGCTGGTGCGCTTTTAAAGACCAAAAGTTACCTGTAGACGTGGCTTAAATTGATTTCAGCAAAGCTTTTGATAAGGTTCCGCACAACTGGCTGTTATATAAGCTAAGAAAGTCGGAATTGGAGGCAATCTATTGACGTGGATAGAAGACTTCCTTGTTGGGCGCCAACAAAGAGTACGGGTAAACTCAAAATTATCTAGCTGGGAAACTGTGCTTAGTGGAGTGCCCCAGGGTACAGTTTTGGGGCCAGTGCTATTCCTCTTGTATGTAAACGACCTTCCTCGCTTACTATCATCATCGGTCTTGCTATATGCTGACGATGTCAAGATATGGAGAACTCCAAAATGACCTGAATAAATTGTCCGAATGGTCTCATACATGGCAGCTGCCGATAAATACTTCCAAGTGTGTTGTGATGCATATCGGTCATCAAGGTTCAGATAAATACACGATGAATAACACTGAGCTACCTGTTGTCCAGACACATAATGACTTAGGAGTCATCGTTAGCCAAGATCTGAAGACTACTGCACACTGCCGTGCAATAGCCGCCAAAGCTTTTAGAACTTTATGGTCAATACGTAGGGCTTTTACTCATGTCGACGCTCAAACGTTTTTGACTTTGTATACAGTGTTCGTACGTCCTAAACTTGAGTACTGCATACAAGCGGCTAGCCCCTGCTTAAAATAAGAAAGTGAGTTTTTGGAAAAGGTCCAGAGAACAGCAACTAAGCTGATTCCCGTAATAGCGAAGCTTCCGTATGATGCTCGACTAGCCAAGCTAAACCTATTCCCTTTGTCATATCGTAGAACTAGAGGCGACTTGATTACAGTTTTCAAATTGCTTAGTGATAAATTTGCACCTGATATGCTTTAATTCTTCCTGTCTTCCAAAACGGAGAATTTACGAGGACACTCCAAAATGTTCACAAGCCCAGAACAAATCACTTGTCAGCTGATTATCGACTTTCCCACCGAATCATCAACGAGTGGAATTCATAACCTCAACACGTGGTTGAAGCTCCATCCGTAGATTCTTTCAAAAGAAAGTTGGATCAACTGAGAGAACACAATTGCCAGGACTAACACAGGCCATCAAGCCTCCTGTCCTATCCAAACTGAAACTGAAGCTGAAATAGTCCTATAAAATACTCACAAACATTTCAAGCCTTCGTCTCTGCTTTTTACCATTTAAACACATCCACTAACGGGAAATGAACTGTTTGAAAACAAAAATATTATTTCAGAGAATATTTTTCAGTCCTAATTAACACCGACGATGTGCTACAGAAAATATTTGAGATAATGGTCTATATAGTTTTCAAGATTCATGCCACTTTCCTGTGTTCATGATAAAAATGTTACCTTAAAACTCGCTAGGTTAATCATTTCTTTATTAGCTTTTTAGCCCTTTGAAGTAGTGACTCTGAAAAGTAAATGAACTTGTTCAGTTATATAAAGAAGAAGTTCACAAACTAGGAATTCAGCAAATAAAACAATATTAAATGAAGAAAAGCTAAATCTCACTTGGTTCAGATGCTTTTTTATTCTGTGTTAATTTGTCGTTCGTACAATTATCATGAATAATCTGGTAAACATTCTTCTTTAGCAAATTGTTCTTTGAGTTACTTAAAAGAGACTGAGACTAAGCTGATCAAAAATCGTGAAACAATACTTCGTTTTTAGCGTTTCTCTCAAGCCACATAGGAATAAGAAATGAATGATGGAATTTTTAAGTAGACAGTGTCACACAGGTTTAAAAATATTCATACTCGTTGTCATGATAACTGCATCAAATTTAGAAAAATAGAACAATATCCTTAAGTTTTTGAAATCAGAAAGTAGCGAACATTTTCTGTTAAAGAAAGAGCTATTTTCCGACTTTTTGGAGAGCACGAGTTTTCTGCTCGATTCGTGGGCTTCTGTGTTATTAGTTCAAAGAAGTCGAAGCAACAAAAGAAAAGTTATTTAACTAGACTACTTCACTCGACTGCTTCCAATACATTCCATTAGTATGATATTGTCTGAAATCAGCTATTAAAATTTTGATAGAGAGTTTTTTGTTCATCTTCCTTGGTCCACTTTTGCATAAAAATATTAAAATTACTTAATGTAGCATAATCTGACCACATTGATACTAAGCTACCTAAAATATTGTACCTGAACGAAAGGTATAAATTCAATATATTGTCGACAAAGAAGGGTACAGTATTAGCGGTTAGAAACCAGTGCATGTGTAGGGCCAGTGAAATGTCACTGGGAACCTAATATTCGAACGAAGAACCCTTCCTTCGGTAGAGTTCTCTTCGTTGCAGAATGTTTAGCATTTATATATTGCAGTAGAAACGTGTTCAGGTTCCTGTTCAGTCCATCAAATTTCGAAGCAGGAGTGGAATGAACAACTGTTTTCAATATCCCGACGAAAGTTTCTGCCTGACTATTAGAGAAAGGGTGCCAAGGAGCAGTGAATGCATATCTGCTCCCCATACAATTAAACCAGGCACTTGTAGATGCCATATGGACTATTCTGCCTTCTAGACTGACTAATTTATTGATTCTTCTTAGGTCACATTTTGAACTTTTCAGTTATTCGCTTAATAACTATGACTCCTTTTATATGGGCGTGTGCATTAAACCCTTATCTTGCCCACCACATACCTAGTTTGCTAACATGACTTCTCCGATTCTCTTCGTTTGCTTGATTGTCTGCCCTAGTCAACGATTGCGTGAAATGTACGTATTCGGAATTTACTCTTGTATCTGACTTATTAAGTTCCCTTATTTACTAACGCGAGTTAAGTCCGTGATTATATACGAGGGTATCCATGGTGTATATTTCAAAAACAATCATTCATGCGATCAAACCGTCATCAAAATGAAGGTCTACACTAAATAATGACTGCATCTGGAGTAAAACGAGAGCCAGTACCAGTCACTTATACCCGATTGCACGGTTCTCTTTATGCTTTGATTGTGAAGTCGTAAGTTCGTGAATTTATGGAAACGTCGGCCGACTTAGAAAAAGAGGAACAACAAGTGCATAGTATTTGTCGGGAAAGAGACCACAATATTCTCTATGGACTCTCTATCAAGCCTTGGACGATATGAACCAAGCAGTCCACTTCGAAGGATGATTTTTCGACCCATGACATCTTCTACAATTATTTGCAGTACAACATATGTATAGATTTATTTTCGGCCACCAACACATGAGCCTTGAAAGAATCTCATTTCTTCAACACCCAAATGTCTGTTATGCAGACCTCCAAGTACAGATTTACGTAATGACAGAGAAATAACAGCATGATCATTTCCAAACAAAATACTATCAGGAGTAGTGGTTAACTCGTCCCGCTCTGTAAAACTGACAGGGAATCTGCGTTTCCGACTAACATTCCAACCACTTTGTATAGCTTTAAGTATACGTCCGAACTATAAACGAGTTTCTGCAATGTGATCTGGAAATCTCACCGGTAAAAATTGAACTAACAAAGAGTCTTCAGTAATAATAGGTTCACCTTGTAAAGATTATCCAGATATGTAGTCAACATGTTGAATTTATTAGGAGCTTCTATGCTGAATCGTACAGTCGTAAAGTATCTGATGGTGAACGTAGCTTTTTAAAGTTTTTTGGAGACCGTGCGCTTGTTAGTGGCGCTAGTCTCTCTATAACTAGTTTAAAACCACTACCATCAACTAGGTATCTAGGACATTTGGAACCAGATACACAAGATGTACACTTATTTAGGTTCGCTGTAATTTTCCTCTTAATTAGGCGACACAATAAAGCACTAGGTCTTTGATCATGAGCCACTTTATTAGAACCATGTATAATAAGCTCATCTTCGTAAATTTTAATAATTCCAGTATCACTGACTACATTATTCATCACTTCCTGAAATATAGCTGGAGAACAACTTAGACCAAAAGTATGTTAATTGTTGTCAAAATCGTTGAAGGTTGATGTAAGCGAACTCGAAAATAGGCATCTTTTAAGCCAACGTGTGAGAATACCCTAGCACCATGAAGACGGATTACAACATCTTAAGCTTCCACTGCCCTGCACGTTCGCCTTGGCATACGAGTGTTCAAAGTTTATTTATAGTCACCATCTACTCTAGAGGTTTTGCCATAAAACTTGAGTAGTATAACAACAGGAGTACTCATGCTGAAGACTAGATCTGCTCAACTATGAGTTTTGCACGCAACTCATTCAATGTCCAATGTGATACTTCTAAAAGACCATGAGCAATTACTCGATTTTCAAAAAAGAATGGATCACTTTTTACTTTGAGTTTTATAGGCAGAATTTTCATCTCTCCGCTGCACTTAGAACGCACAGCTATTAAATCTTTAAGTAAAGCATCAGAATTTTCTTTAGTAACTCCGCTTTAAACTTTTACAAATTTTTCAGATCTAGTATTGATGGTCCTGTTCTTACTAACTAAAATCGCACAAGGCATGTATGATGAATTATCATCTATAACTGACAATTCTTAGCATCCTCGTTTGAGCAGTTGGTGTCCAATAATCTCCAATACTTATCTTCAGTCGGTCGTACTACAACGTCAGAATCTAAAGATTTCAAGTTCTTGGATGAAATAATCAGCTCTATACTGTCAAAAATAATGAACTAAGGGAAGTATGTAATCGCTTATGAATATGAAAAACACTTTTTAAAATCGTCATTAGGAACGTTCAATTTATTAAAACCGAACTACGGGGTTTATCATCACTAGTGGAAAGGTGAGCAGTAGCTTTACTATGATAATTAGAAGTAATTGAATTATAGTATGAACTAAGAATCCCAGGGATAACGCAATTGAATCAAGAAGTACTACACAAGCACTAACGAATGTACTGTATTTAGAATTCGAAATCAAACATTCAACAAGTACAAAGGAGTCATTAGTTCATTCAAACACCACATCCGCCACAGCTTAAATTAGAGTCTAAGTGTTTGTAATCAATTGTACGTCTTCCTCTCCTCAAGTTCATGCTGTGTCTGTCACACAATGTATTGGATAAAGACTCTGTTATATCTAGAATGCACTCATTATTATTAGAATAAACAACTGAAATCGGAACAGACTCGCTTGATTTCTGGGATTGTGTACAATCATCATGTCGGTTGAGTACTGAAAGTACTGCTTCCTAGAATTTGAACCATAGACATTCAGACTATCCTCCCCCACGAAATAATGTCGGATCTTCATATCCCCAAGTTATGAATAATGTGGCTTCATTTAAAACATCTTTCTCAATTTGACTAGAGTAAACATCGGAAGTGAATTTATGATAAGGACAAACAACAGTTGATATGGAATTATCTGAATTGTAATCAAACTCTAACTCATTTAATACTCGTGCTTCGTATCGAACAAGTTTCTCACAAGAAACAAATGCATCATGAGGACAAATAATATTTGATACGACATCAAGATTCGATTCTTCTGAAATAGTTTCCTCAAATTTATTAAGAATGTCATTGCAGAGTAAAGAATCATTAGAAAAATCAGCATCAATCAAAACTACATCAGTTTTTTATCATCATTAGGTTTATTCGAAATATTTTCACCAGATTTGTAAGAAATTTCACCAGACATTTGTGAATCATTAGGAAAAACCATATCTGGTACAATAACATGAGAAATCTGATAGGTTGATTCATTAGAAATTGTTGTCTCGCAAGAATCTTGAGTTTCATATAACTCTGAACTGCTATATGACTCTAAACTGTCTTTTGAAATCGTCGATAAAGATAAATGATCATTATAAATATTCAGATTAATAGAATCAGAATCAAAAGACTTAATATTAGTTGCAGCAACATGAACAGTAGTATTACAAACTGACTGAATATGTCCAACATCAACACACTTAAAGCATTTACAACTACGAAATTTACATTAATTAAAAGGGTGGAACTTGCCACAAGAAAAACATTGACTAAACTTGTGCCCATCTTCGTGAACTGCACAACCTTGAGTACGCACTGGGATGGGGTGATGTAATGTATTGGAACTTTTTATAACCTCATAAATTATTTTACGAAGTCTCCCTTCACCGCATTCGAAATTTGTATACTTTGCATAGTCTAGAAGTAGTTCCTTGAGAGTTGCATAAGGAACAGAAATGGGCTTTTCCGGTGAAGCCAAAATTTTTAATAAGGCATATGCTTCTTTTCCAATGAATGTGAGAAAATGTGCCACAATATTAATACCCTCATCATCTTTCTTGGTCATGCTCCAGATTTCAAATCTTTCCAAATAGTCCTCAAAAGCTTCAGAAGTTGAATGAATATCTAACTGTTCCATCGCAGACTCCATCGCGACTCCAATATGATAATTAGGAGTAATTGAATTATAGTATGAACTAAGAATCCCAGGGATAACGCAATTGAATCAAGAAGTACTACACAAGCACTAACGAATGTACTGTATTTAGAATTCGAAATCAAACATTCAACAAGTACAAAGGAGTCATTAGTTCATTCAAACACCACATTTACATGCCGATCTAACTTGTCGCATTTTATCACACGAGTGGATGAAGCCCTATCTGAAAATTTTATAAAGAAAACTAGACAGGATAATCCACTCCTCAAATAAGGAACTCAAATCAAGGTCTTTATCTGAATACAAAATTCATAACACGGAATTATTACTGTGATTCTAACCAACTAATTATTTTCAGATGTTAACTGGTTGGTACTTGACGATGAATCGTTAAAATCAATCGTTATTTTTGCCTACGCGATTGCAACTGAGCATTACTCTGCTTGAGTCAAATAGTACTAATGGTTTTCGAGACATTAGGTCATATCAATAAGGCCGTAACCAAATCTCAAACAATAATACATGTGATGAACTTCGATGAATCTCTCAAAGCAGATCAATACACAAATATCATTCCATGTCTACACTCGACGAATCTGCCCTACGTGAGATGTTGTCGCATCCTAAGTTAACTTGAGAC